GATAAATTTAGTTCAAAAATGTGGATTTGAAGTTATTTGTGTTGTTACTGATAATCACCGAATTAATAGAGCAATGTTCAGGAAATTAGCAAAGGATTCATCAGAAAATTATTCTATTCCAAATCCACATAATCCTGATAAGAACATATATTTAACTTATGATGTTGTGCATATTTTCAAGAGTATCAGAAATAATTGGATTAATTTAAAAAACCTAGACAAAACTTTTGTATATCCTAATTTTGACAATAATGATATTATTCAGTATGCTAAATTTGAAAACATTCGTGCTGTATATCAATTGGAAAAAGAAGCTGTAGTTAAGAAAGCATATAAATTAAATTATAAAACATTGCATCCAAATTCATTTGAAAGGCAAAATGTAAATTTTGTAGATAATTTATTCCATCACTCAACAATAGCTGCTATGAAAGAATTAAAGTTTAATGATGCTGCACACTTTTTGGAAATAATCAGGAATTGGTGGGATATTGTCAGTAATACAAGTGTAATAAAAGGAGAATTGAAGCGAAACGAATTTTGTAAGCCTATTACCAATAAATATGATTATAGAGTACAATTTTTAAAAAAATTCCTGATATGGTTAGAAAAATGGCATAATCTAGAGAATAATAATGGACACCTGACACCAGAAACGTATACAGCTCTATATCAAAGCACGCTGACTCTACTTAATATAATTGAATATTCATTTAATCAATTTGACATTGAGTATGTATTGCCTGAAAAATTCACCACTGATAATTTATACGTAGAAAAACGATTTGGCAATTATAGACTTTTATGTGGCTGCAATTACAATGTGTCATATGATGAAATTTTAAATGCTGAAAAGAAAATACGGCTGAAGCATATTTTCAATGAAAAGAAATCGTCAATTTCTTTAGCAGAAATTAAAACAAGGTTCCAAAACTGCTTAGAAACTCAAGAAAATTTTGATTTCTTGGATACCAAACAAAATCCTGAAGATCTGGATATATTCAATGAACTATTTGAGACAAATTACTTAGCCAATTGTGACATAGAGGATAGTACTAAGACTTATATATCTGGATATGCTTCACACGCTATCTCTAAAAACCTAAACTGCGAGATATGCAAATCGCTAATAGTTAAAGAAAAAGGTTCATTAACAACAATGTCAAATGTTTATTTTGATGATTTGCAAAGAGGAGGACTGTCAATTCCAACCAGTTATGTACCAATCATATTCTACCATATGTATGGTATGTTCTTTAACTTGCATCTGTGGCCGCAATAATGCAGATATTTTATCTAAGCTTTTGTATATTTTGTCAAACATAATTTTGAATGATTATGTAAAATTGAAAAATAACAGTAAAACTGAAAGTAAATGTATTAAAAACAAACAGGTAACACCACATTTCCAAGCTGGGCCTGTTGGAACACAGTGTGCTGACACCAAAAAACGTAAACTAAATACTTTTAATTAGGTTAACTGCATTAGCGACTCATATATATCACGATTATTTCATATTTTTAAATTTTTTAGAGCTATTTCATATTCAGACGATTTGTATCGAATCGAGCTGTCCTCTTTTCCAAAATTAAATTTAGTTCTTGAACGTTACACGGAGACGGAGCACACAGCCGCTGGCGGCCGACGTTCACAGGTAGCACTACCATGGTACCATGCCGTTCGAGCGCGGTGTTGCCTTTCTTTCATCACGGCTCGTAGTTGACGTCGGCTGTGACATAACGTATACGTAATGTGCTTTACCGGATAGCGTTTGCGCCTACCTCGCATATCTAAGCGTTATGCGAAAACTCCCTATTGTATCGATTTTTTTGACGTTATATTGGTTTTTTTGTGACATTATGTTCGAGCCCAAACAACTAAATATTCGGGCACCTTTACATTTTGTCCAAATTGCCCTATAAAATAACTGAACAAGATTGTAAACTTGTACCGAAAACTTTTATTTTGTAGTATAATATACAAATTGTGGCATATTTTCAATAGTACCATCTATTCAACAAACTTTCTTTCTTTCACATCTTCTCTACAGACTACTCGGCTTCACAAAATATATACTTGCTCTTTGCAACAAAAAATGCGTGTAGTTGAGTGATTCTTCCATCTTAGACGCTCACTGCGATAATAGCGAGCAAACGTCGAATGGGCTATTTGCACTCTAAAAACTACCTAATCTGCAAGATGACATTTTATTTTTTTTTTCTGACATTTTATAGGTTTTTTACATAATAGCCGTGCCGAACGGCTATGTATTTTGATGACATTTTTGCAGAAGGTTACTAACATGCTAAGGACGAAAACGCTTTATAATTTTTGGAAATCAGTCCCGTAGCGGCGGAGAAAAAGGAAAAACACGGAAAAAATAAACATCGCTTTTTGAAGTCTCAGAGAATCTTGATAATTGTTGGGAAACTTTCTGGGGTGGGGGTTATAGAAGAGTGGATGAAGGTGAATCCCGATTTTTTTATGTTGGTATGTTAATACATTCCCAACCTCCATAATTCTACGCACCTATTAGACATATTTATCTATATATAATAACATAAAGGACACAATTGTACTGATTATAAATAACGAACGCATCGCCATGGTAGAACATTCTAAAAACCGGGATGTTATCTTAGGATCTAACTTAAAGTTTAAACTTGATAGACACATCGATTACCTGTTTCAAAAAACCTATGCCAAATTTAAACTTTTATATTGCAACAGGTTCATTTTAAACTTGACCCTGTCATATTTGCAATATTCTTTAATTTTATTTTATTCCTATTTGGATTCGTCGAATCGGTATAGGTTAGAGAAAATTCAAAACAACTGTTGCAGGTTTGTGTTTGGACTTCGTCAATATGTATATTCGAAGATCCAAAATTTAAATTGTTCGAAGATGGAGTCACAGTTTGTTTATGCTATGAAGGTGTTTGTCCATAAAGTAGTTCGCACTGCAAAACCACCGTATATTTTAGAAAAGCTGGTACCAAGAGGTAACATTAGCCAGAGGAGTCTTAGAAATAATCTAAATTTTGCGATGCCAGTCCACGACTCAGCCCTTTTTCAAAGAAACTACAAATTTCAGGTGTCAGGCAGGTTTATTGCTAAATTGCATTCTTCAATTATTAGATTATTACATTAATTTTCTCGGACAATAAAACGTTTTTTATTTTTCTACTCAAAAATGGCGCATCGAAGGAAAACAATTCAAGAGAGATCATTTGTTTTAAATTGAACGGTAAATTCGAAAATAATTTTTATTTGGCAAAAAACCATTGGCGTACCATTTTTTTCTTAAAAAATATGTAACTTCATCAACTTTCACTACGTACTAAATATCAGTGGAACAACTGAAGCGGTTCTGAAAATATTAATTAATTTCCATTTTTTTCCAAAAACTTCAACACCTCGAGTTTTTGTAAGGAACAATTTTTGGACCATAGTTTATAAAGCAAACTAACATTAATTTTTCATGTAGATTCACACCCTTAAATATTTGCATAATGATTAAGGAACACCCTGTATAACCACCTTGCGCTTTTAAAAATTGAAATAAAGGGTGTCTCATAAATATTTTCTTATTTTATGCCATAAATAAAAATACTTAGAATATTTTTACAAAGATAAATTTATTACCAAACGAAAGCCTAAACATTAATTTTATTTATGGAAAAGAGTATCGGATAAATGAGCACCGTTCATGTTTTCACACTCTCTTAATCTCGAACTGAAGTTTTCGATCACTCTCCGAAGCATTGCTCGAGGAATGGCGTTTATTTCATCTGTTATTTTTTGCTTCAACTCTCTCAAATCTTGTGGCGGTGGGGTGTATACCTTACTCTTCAGGTATCCCCATAAGAAAAAATCTGCTGGTGTCAAATCGGGACTTCTCGGTGCCCAGTTAATGTCTCCTCTGTGACTGATGACCCTCTCTGGGAATAACTGATGAAGAGCATCCAAGGATTCATTCGTGACATGAGAAGTCGCTCCATCTTGCTGGAAAAACGTGTTTCTATTGTAGCCACCATGGTTCTGTATAGCTGGAGTTAAAAAAGTCCTAATCATGTGGCAGTAGCGCTCAGATGTTACAGTTTGAGCTTGGCCACGATTGTCTTCAAAAAAATACGGGCCAATGATTCCTTGCCCTGACATAGCAGCCCAGACGATAACTTTAGGCGAGTGTAATGGCGTCTCATGAAGATTTTGCGGGTTCTGCTCGGCCCAATATCGGCAGTTTTGTTTATTAACATGCCCGTTAATGTGAAAATTCGATTCATCAGAAAACCATATGTTGTTGTAACCGTTAAAATGCTCTCTCATTGTTCTACAGAACTCTAATCGATTAGCGGGATCTTGTGGTTTTAATTGTTGTGTAACAACAATCTTGTATGGGTGAAAATGCAAATCCTTGCGAATAATGCGATGAACAGTTGACTTATGCAAAGTTAGAGACGCTCCACGCAGTCTTAATGATTGCCGGGGATCCTCGTTAACGGACTGGCGCACACGTTCAATATTTTCGTTCGATCTTGCTGACCTTGGCCGTCCAGGCCAACGTCCAGGCGGTTTACTAATACACGTGTTTCCAGTGCTCTCGAACTTTCTTACCCAATATTTAATTAAATTTGCGCTTGGGACATCTCTCATTCTTGCTATGTTATAATGATTTCTGTACAAACGACGTACAAGCACATAAGAATCCTTGTTTTTATAGAACTCGCGAACACAAAAAGCACGTTGCGGCCCTGTAAAACGCTCCATTGCAACTAAAATTTAACAATGTTGCCAAACGTTTGTCAACTGTCTCGTTTCTCCGGAGCATGCGTATTCCGCCAGAGGACTGATCTAAAAACGAAAATATTTCTGAGACACCCTTTAGATATATTTCGATTTCCTAAGACAAATACTGCAAGAAATACTCATTTATTCGATGAAGTGAGATATACGCTAAGTAGTTTATTATCAAAATGACTAATGTCTGTATTTTCAGTTGATGCTGCGAAGGTGTTGCAGCGATCGATCATTCCAGCGGGAAGCGAGTAAGTGCTTTATTTAATCTAAAACCTGTACTTTTTACCACCTACACCAAGATAAAAAATAATTAAATCAATTAAAATTTTAATTGGGCCAATTACAAAACTTAAATTATGTGACAGCTAACAAGTTTAATTAAACTCCAGCTACTAAAATAGTTTATATGAATCTATAACACTAGTTTAATTAAACCAAACAGCAATCGTTTGATTGAATTTATTAAACGGTTCACTTAGATTGGTTACTCCAATTTAATTAAACAAGCTGCTGTGAGTAAAACACTTTAATTATATTTATTAAATTTGTTTAATTATAGTTTAGGTAAAAGTATTTGCCTAGTTTTAACGAATTATTTTACTGAATGGTGTATATTATAACGGTGTTCTGAAAAATTTGGAGAACTTGATATTGATACTTTCAAATCAAAATAACTCTCGAATTTGATAACCCTAAAATTATATAGTTGTTTCTAATAGTAAAGAAATATTGCACTCATCCGCATTCAAAACATTTCTATATAAACTAGAATATTTTCAGATACTACAAAGTCTACACCAACAGGACGCTCCACTTCCTATATACACATTATACTATATTAAAGAAAAGCACATCAAACTTATGCTAAGCACATATTTGGATAAATAATAATAATAATAATAAATCGTCTTTATTTGGGGGCGAAGTTTAGCATAATGCTACTCTGCCATTTAACCAAAAAAAAAAAAGAAAAACTGAAAAAACAACACAAAAAACATAAATACATTTGATAAGTTAGAAGTTTAAAAATGTAGGTGTATAAAAAATATAAATGCCCTTCGTTGATCTGAATATGGCTGCATAAATAAAATTTCAAACTTCTTCCCATTCCGTCACGTCAGCAGTGACTCCCCTATACACAGCGTTTCATTTGGAGCAAGAAATATTCTAACCATAGTTATGGATCACTGAGCACCTCATAGTCGGATATTTTACTTGATCACTAGAATTGATCCACTTTACTGCTAATACGCCAACAACGGCAACATTCGAATATGAAGCTCCTCGCGAAAATCACAAATGAAACTGGGGAGTTCGAAGGGCGTCACCGCCAGTGCGTCTGTCGCATACTCCCGGTCATTCACGAATAAAAGACCGAGCGCTGCTTTGTCCGCGATTCAAATAAACAATTTAACTGGGATCGTTTTAAATGTACCTTATCTACATAAACTAAATTACCTAAACTAATTAAAGAGTTTAATAAATCATACATGGCTTGCTATTTTCAAGCAAATTAGCTTAATAGTATATTACTTTCGATTAAACTGGTTGCAGAAAGTTCAGTTTGATTAAACCGAATAATCTAGTTACTTATAGTAATTAAAAAAAATTACAGCTAATGAAAATTTTCAGAACAACTGTTTAATTGATCACGTAATCTAGTCACTTGGAGTTATTTAAAAATTATTCCAGGTAATGAACATTTTCCAGAATAACTGTTTAATTAATCACGCTTTATCAGTGTAAAGTATTCATAATGTGAATATGTTATAGTATGCCAAATATTTAAATTAATTTTCCGTAAAAAGCAACTCTGCTAACTCACTACAGCAGTCCAAATCATGTCTGAGCATGGGTGTTAAGTGCGCTATGATAAATTGCCAAAAATTGAACATGGAGTCAAAACTGGTTATCTTGGAATTTGAAACATATAGTGCCTTTGATATCATATCAAGTTATAAATTTTTGGAATTCAGACAATTTGAAACATTCATCAAAATACGGCGTTTTAGCAACTTTAAGCGCCAACTTTTCAGGTACATGTGAGTTCTAGAACAGAGACATTTTTCTATTCTACTTAGCAAGCTTTTTTTGAAGTCTTCTGTATCGTCTGAATAGGTTCATCCTATCATTATAGGACTATAGTAGCTTTGTAGTTTTGTATTCCTGACTCTTGATATTGATTCAAGGTATTATAACTTAACACGATTGGTTAGATGGATTAAAGCAGGATATAATATACGTAATAGAACCTTCCTTAAACCGGTAATCATTTTTTCTCATTTTCCAGTCTCAGTAGCTTGCACGAGGAAGATGAACAATCGGAAGAAGGTAAGATATCTTCATATTGTGACGCAGTTTATATTGAATCGTGGGGTTTTTAGAGCATTTGCCTCATGTATCATCGACACCAAAGCGTCTAAGGAGGAAGAGGAAGGCAACACCCCAGCTGACTCCAATAGAAGAAGCTCCAGGAATGCAACATTTCGACGAAGCTCCACCGTTATTTCCGAAGACTGATGATGTATTCAGACATCCTGGACATCCCGAGGCTATTACAATGAGGGAACAAGAAATAACACTTAGAACGGTAAGAAGAAGAACGTACTTATTAATGTAAATCCATTTTCAAACTATAGGAAAATTCGACACAAATGTCTATGAAATGTAGGGCAATCATTCAATGGGTGATTCTTCGGGATAATTTTTTATTAATTTGTCCTTCAACGATTTTCGATATACTTACGGGTTCGTTTCTGAGATACATGACCCTGAACAACGCCACTGTTCTCATGAAATCAGGTTACTATTATTTCAACTGTGTTTTACATAAGCTTGAATGAGTCATTTCAAAAACGTAATTAGTTTATTTTCATGCCAAAAATTGATTCAATATTAACTTAAATTACTTTCAAAAATGCAAAAATAACGTAGTGTGAAAGTCGCAGTGTGTCCATCTAGCTAGAAAAACATAAAAAATTGAGTTCAATGTAAATTCAGTTTGTGTACCGAAGACTATGAGAAAATAGCAAAATATTGAGTTTTTATTTATACAGACATTTTTGAATAATACTTAAAAAACTAAAATAGGCACAGTCAAATAAATTTCCTTTTTAAGTATTCTTAAAAAATAAATTTAGAACATTTTAATGTATGCACTAACCTGGAGCAACCTGTACGCGTATGCTCCGCAAATGCTTTCCAAAAGGCGAAACATTATATTGTAGCGTTTTTTCTGGGTTCTTTTGGTTGTGAATTAAAACACTCGATTCCACAAAACTAAATGCACTAATTCATTTAAAACACAACACAACTAACTTTAACTTAACTAGATAGAACATATATACATATATATATATATATATATATATATATACTATTTATGTCTGACTACTTATTTACGAATTATTATGTCGCACCATTCACTCGATTCTGCTTCCCTCTCCCAGCCGTCGGCTTATATATTCCGCATTGTAGGTACTCGTTGATTCAAGAAAGTTCCAGTACGCCACATAGCCAGTCCAGAACCTTCGAGATCACTCTCGCACCTCGCGTCGATGTCGAAGGATAGTCCCTGGTGCGGTTCCCAACAGATGTCGCTAGTAGTATCACTTATTCTTGTTACACTGCCCCTTCCCTAAAGTCATTCCGTCCTGAAATGATCCTACTGGTGGTGGATGTCGATATCGGCACGACTGCCCTTTCTTGCAGTAGGAGTTATTGAAGAAGTAACAATCCACACCCTTTCCGGGAGGTAGCCGTCTAGGACTAAACAACATACCAGAAATCGAATGCCTGTATCTCGGAAGACTACCTCAAGCATGCTTCGGATTATTCTCCAGTCCAGGTTGTCCACAAACCAGCTAGGTATTGCCAGTTTCTCAGGTCCTCGGCAAGCAACACTTCTCTAAGAGAACACAAAGCGCTCCAGACATCCTCGTAATTCGGTATCTGATACGAAGCTTTCTTGGTAACCAGATAGAAGATCTTTCGGTTGGTACCCTCTTCAGTTATCTGGAGTACCTTCGACTTCCGGGTTAGATTGACGCAGCTCGTGGACTCTTCCAAACTTCGTGAGAAAGACGTTTGCTATACCTCTCGACATTTGCAAGTCTTGAGCAACACAGTGTGCCAGGACATACTCTGGTGAAGTGGTAAACAGATCTTGCTGTACCTCACATGTCACGCCATACCGACTCTTATGGCCATCAGCATGGTGGGCCATAAATTGGTCAAATGTCACGTCCGGTTCTGGTTGGATTTACCGCACCGCCACATCTTCGTTGTTTCCAGGATAAGGAGCAAGTCGGTTGAGATGTATGTACAAGTCGGGCTTTACCGCGTGGTGCCTTCTGAATCCTGTAGAGAATATCGTTGATGGCTTCCAGAACTTTATATGGCCGTCCTAGGATGATTGAAGTTTACACGACAGCCCTTTCCGCCTCTTTGGGTTAAGCCAAACCATACCACCGTTGTCATACCTCTGGTCTTTGGCATTAACGTCATAAGCTTCCTTCATCTGGTTGCTGGCACCTTGAATTGAAACACGAACCTGGCTTTGGATGGCGTCCATTCTTCTGCGCAGCTCACTTACGTAGTCTTCTCCGGCAATATCAGTTCCTGGTGGATAGCCAAACTTTAGATCGCATGGGAGACGAAGTTCTCTTCGGTCCTGATTTTCTCCTTCTAGACATTTTGTCCTTGAATCTACCGAATTTCAACGACACTGTTTACCGATTTCGACTTTTTCGGAACGGTAACATTTGCCGATGCAGCGGGACAAGAGGGTCCCTAGACCCTTTGTCGGTAGCGATTAGCGATGCTTGGTACGTCGATGAAACTAATCTCAGACATGTCACGTCGCCACTTGGTAAGTAACAAACTTTGTTATCGCAAATTTAACAACGTCACTTTATGCGGCCATCACTGATACCAGTAATTTGGAGAGCAGTGGTTGGATTCAGGAGCGGCTATTACAGAGTTTAATAATTGATCTGTCATCTAGCGGATTATAAGTCTCTCTGTGACCTGGCCTATTCCCTTAAGCAACTTATGAACAACACTGTATAATTCAATAAAGTTTTGACAGCATAGTAACTAGCTGAGTACCCACATAACGGAATAGCTCTAATCGTCATTGCTATCTATTTTTACACAATTATAATGATGACTCCAATGTAATATTTTTGAAAATCCCGTTGGAGTCGTGCGTCGACCGTGATGACTGTTCTGTTATGGAATCACACGTATATTTGCCGCGTAACAGCATAGTGTTTTCTCTGCTCTGGTCGCCCTACCACGCTGCAACGTCTGCAGTGAAATTTTTCTTAGAGGATCTAGTTTGTGCTGATCATATACCTGATAAAGGCGTTTCGTAGGAAGTGCAGAGTCAAACTACTTGACACCATTTGTCTGAGTCGCTGATTAGAAATCTATTATCAAAATTAGTCCATTTTCAAAATGTCGGGACCAGAATATCGGAAGCAGTATCATAATTAATAAAATAACTATTCCAAATAACAGCTAATTTTAACATACTCGAATAATAATTCATTTTCTCAGATAAATAATCAGGTTTTTGCTATTATTCTTAGCCTTCTGATGAGCCTTGCTTACATGAAGTTACTTGTAGTAAATTAAATGTGGGGTCTAAAGAAACTTAGTCTCCTATTACAATGTTGCGTTACAATTCGGATTTGTTTTTGTTTATTCCTTCTTGCACTCACATTAATTAACAATTCAATTAAAAATAGATTTCAAAGTTACTTGTTTTATAAATATGAAATATTTACTATCATCGTCACTAATTTGTCCTTTGAAAAATGCCACCGCGGTGACCGAAACGTCAGTACCTAAAGAGTAATTTTTACATGTGTAGTTTCATTAGGTCAGAAAATCGTGGAGATCGTTTAGCATGAAAAGGACTGGATAGTTTTCAGGTGTTACATTACTTATTTTCAGTTAGGGATTCACTTGAAGCTTGAAATCAAGTCAAGCAAATATTAGATATTCGCAACGTAAGTCCAGTAGTTTTTACGTCAAGTACTTACTTGAAAATTCAAGTAGTTTTGATATTATTTGATAATTTTTGTAATATAAATACGAGTAGATCATAAATACACAATGAAAGAACTTTGTGACAAGTTACAAAGAAAACAATACTTATTGAACAAAACTGTAAATTCAAATAAAAAACAAGAAACATTCTGAATTAGCTTTTCATTCGCTGACCACGACCCAAAACACATGTTGTGGTGTTCCGTAATAGTTAATGATGCAGCCCTAGAAAATTCGTGACGATTTGCATTACAAATACAATATGCGGATCATCGGTTGTACAAATAAATATCACTGAAGGCCTTTAGTAGAACAAAAATATAATTCGCCATCAAGTATGAAGTAGTTTGAAAATGCGCCATCAAGTATGAAGTAGTTTGAAAATGCTTGACATCAAGTCAAGTAAAACAACAAAAAATATGTCAAGCATTAACGTTTCAAGTGATTTTATTGTCAAGTAGTTTCTGAAAATATCAAGCTACTTGACTTGATGACTCCCTATTTTCAGGTGTATTAAAGATCAACAATTAAACCTATTTTTTTGTTTTCCGAAAACGTAATGATTTCCAACATATACACGCATAAGCCAGTAAATTTTTAAAATACAAACTGCCAACAATTTTATTAAATCCGGTATCACTCGCACTATCAAGACAAATCTAGAAACACCTCTTAGGTTAAAATCCATCAAGCCGCTAAAGGTGTAGCCCGAGAAACGGGAATTTCAAAGTTTGTGAAATTTCAATGTGCCCAGTGTCACTCACCACATATATAAGTCAAACTTCATCAAGTCATTTGGATTGTAGCCCGTGAAACTTTTTTGCTAAATGAATGTCAATGTTCAAGTGGAAGATGTTTCGGTCCATTTTAAGACGAGAACGTAAATTATCAAAATGTTATTCATTTATGAGAAGATTTTATCACATGAGTTTTTCAGTCCGACGCAAGATATTGCTAAGCGAAATCCGTGCATCGGATTGAAATAATCAGGCACACAAGTTTGCTTAGAAATAATTGAGGATCTCAATAATAATTTTTAGTTTAAGAGAAATCACTGACTGGAATGCCATCAATGTCTACCAAAATAGACAGGTCAAATTCCGTACGAATGTCGCTGATGGAGAAAATGTAGTACATTAATAAATGCCTCTTGATATGGTACGTGTATTAAGTTATCTAAAGCGGTATTTACAGATACTAATAATAAACCATTTATTTTTGAAAACATTAGCACCCTGTATCTTAAAAAGGACATACGTTCACATAAGCTTTTCTTCTTAAAATGGACTCAAACATTGCCCCATTAGATATCAATACTAAATTAAAAAAACCCTACATACATCCACGCGCGAAAAACATAACCCTCCTTCTTCCTCTTCTTCAAAGATAAAGCGATTACCGGACTGCATTGGAAAGAGGGTTATGGTTTTCGCGCGTGAGTATAAATGTAAACAAAAACTTCTGTTTCATAGACTACATCCAAACCAAATGGCTTGATGAATTTTGAATGAGGTGTTATTAGATTAGCCTTACCAGTACAAGTGACACTGGGTGCATGAAGAATTTTGTAAAATCAAAATGGCGGACTTTTATTGAAAATTTTAAATTTCTATTTCACAAATAACTCGATAAATTTTGATATACGAGTATGAGTATATGCGAATGACTCTGACTATTCAAAGAGTCATAACATCAAAATCAAAAGCTATTGGCTTAAACGGCTTGATAGGATTTGATATTTGAGGTGTCTATAGATTTGCTTTGACAGTGGGACTGATGTGGGGTATTTTATAAAACCAAAATGGTGTCTTAATTGGCAACTTCACCTTTGAAATTTTCTGTCCTTACATTCGTACAACTGAAGCTTTATCCTTATCAGCTACTGGAATCGGGATTATTGTAGTTCAGAAAATATCCTTATTCGAATGTTATGTTTTTTTCATTACCAGAAAAAATAAATTGTAACTGTTGTTAATTAAATGCAGCTCAATATTAATATCTAGACCGTGCATAGCATTCAAGTTTTATTTGACCGCCATAGTTTCTGGCTGAAAGGGTGACTTCGTTATGATTCATTTTGTCTGGAAATAATAAAACTTAACGTCCATTTGCAGTTTTTATCAAAGTAACGAATCATTTTATCATTGGTTTTTTATGTGAGTATATATGTTGGGAATCATTAGCTTATAAAAAAATAAAAATGTAATTTAATTATAATTAATGAATAATTATTCATTTTATATAATAACTTAACTAAAATAATTAGGTTTTTGATCTATATTTTCATTTAAATTATTAATATTAATGAAATGTTAGTGTTTTTAAATTTTTGTAGCGCTCTGAAGGAGGAAATAACTTTTTCCGAATCGATGACAACTTTGTAACAGGAAGCAAGTTAATTTTTGTTACTGTAAAAATAATGCTTTTGGACTAGCCCATCCTTCACGATCTAAATGAGTCAAATGTTTTCTATGAGTATCAGCATGTGAGACCTCAACTATCTAGTAGGCTGTTAGAATTTCGTCGGAAATTATACAGGGTTTTCCGATACTTCAAAAATCGATAGTCCAGAGAAACTACCCTTTGTATTTTTGCCATATATTTCGAAAGTATGCTGTATACATGAAATGTGTATGTAATAAACAAAAATGATATGTTTTACATGAACAGGAAACATTTTAATATTTTAAAACATCCTGGGCGTTAGAGAAGATTTTGGATACTCAAATACTAAAAAAAACGAATATATAAATTTCACTGCTTCTGAGTAAAAATAAACTAATAAACTTCTAGATGCTTCCAGAAGAAGGATTTGGTGCTGATATTAGCGTCGAAGATGTCATACGTATCTTAGAAAGGTAAGTAATGTTTCTCATACTGGTAAACGATATATTTGCTCATGGTCATGTAATTTTTAATATGCAGGATGTTCCGAAATTGAAGGATAATCCTGCAATTTTAGATAGGTCAGGTCTTGGCCTACTAGATGATAAAATCTTGTTTCAAGTATTATAGTTTTTGAGATTTTCAGCATTCAATTTTCCCATGTCATTTCTACAAATATCAACTCTTTTGGACCAGGTTTGTTTTACAACACTGAGAATTAAGCATCATACTTCGTCCATCATTATGTTTCCTTGAGGTGGCGAAAAACCCACGTAAGAGTCACGCCAAACTTTGATTCTTTATTAAAACCCATTCTCACATCTGTCTTTGACATCCTTTAAGCTTTAAGGTGAGGGGATCAACTACGACCACTGCGAAAATTTTTGAATGGTATTATTGTTATTCCCCCCTCTGCTGTTTTTTTTTTCGTTTTATTGCAGTTATAATACATAACCTCTCGAATGCTGAAGGTTGCCTCAATTTTGGGACTCAATTCTGTTACTGTGGCCAACACAGCTTGGTATACATATACACAGTCTCTAAAGCAATCCTAATAAAAAAATTAGTGAGCTTAGGTCCAACGATGAAATAAGGCCGCGCAGCCAACCCACCTTTACGAATGTTGCATTTTTGTAATTGAAGTGGTCTCGATGTGACCGAGTGTGATGTGCCTGAACATAACTGAGTATTAGTATGTTCCAGCAGATCTTTATCAGAATATTTTGATTGACAAACTGACAAACATAAATTAATGCTACAAGGAGCAGATTTGATACCTTGTTCCTAAGTTTTGTAATTTTTAAAAGTCAGTAGTTGTTCAGCGCCTTTGGTTATTTATATTTTGAGTTTCATAGTTATTTTTGCGTTGAGTTTTATTAGATCCCTAGTTTTTGTACCCTAGGAGGTAGTTATGCATCTCATTTACGGGGAATACCACTGCGTCGCTGCAAATGCTGCTGAACTATATCATGCGGTAAAGTGGTTTTATTTCCAGTATTATTGACTTAAAAATACTTTGCTGCTCATAAAGATGGATAAAGCAAATGATACTAAATAATACTTCGGCACATCACACTCGGACAGATCGAGACCATTTCATTTACAAAAATGCAACATTCATAATGGTTGATCAGTCTGCGTGGCCTTATTTCATTGCCACCAAGACCGTTGGACCTAAATCCAACAGTTTTTTTAGGGTTGCTGTCCATTGTTTGTATCAAAGCCATAAATTATTATTTTCTGATATCTACGAAAACTGAGACTCCTCCATTATATCTGCAATAAAAAGAAACAAAAAACAGCATAGGGAGAATAACAATAATATCATTCAAAAATTGCTAAAAGTTGGCCAAATGTTCTCAACAAAATGGCACAGTAATCATACTTAATCCTCTCACTCTACAGGATGTCAAAGTCAGACGTGAGAAGGAGTTTTAATAAAAATTTAGACTTTGGCATGACGCCAACGAAAAAGATCAGATTATTTTAAAACAAATCTTGTTCAAAAACGTGGATATTTGTATAAATGGAACGGGATTAATTGAATATTAGCCAGCTTAAGTTGCAGAATTATCCATCAATTTTGGGTCACCCATAATATAATATTGGATTAAGAAAGGGCTTTCGATCCGCAAATTTTAACAAACATGTGACGTTCATTTTAGTTTCATATTTTTTCGTATATTCTATCATTGGTTACCGTATTCTTCAAGAAGATGCTGAGTCCTATGCTGTATTTGGACGTAGACATACGATTTCCACCCTCGTAGCCATGTTGGAACCCAATAATTCCATTAGGGGTAATAAAAATACACTTTACTTCCAAAGAAAACTGTTAATTCTTGAACATGGCATCAACATCTCAAGGAAAGATCATCCCTCAATCTTCTTCATAATTACCTGCGGTACCAGTCCGAAAAGTGACAAGGGTGACATCTAAAGATGGTGGTCGACAAGTATATAATGTATCCAAGATAAGGATATGAGGATCTCACTACCTGTGGGAGATACAGCTTAAGTTGAATTAGGAAAAAGTTGCGCTCTTTGGACCGTTGAGAAACTTGTAGACATTTCAGGGCTTCCCGAGATATTTGGAAAATACTAAAATGTTGCCAAATTGTTTTTATTGTTGTCTGACCTTATTTTGAAAAATGTCAAAAAACTAATGGAGCCTTTCCATTGGTACTTTTCAGGCACTACATGATGGTGTTTTTAAATTTTGTGTCAGATGGTTCGTTTTTGAGAAACCATCATCGACTTTATTTATTTAGATGGTCCCTGTATCAAACAGCCATTTTTTATTCGAATTCAACGATGTATCACATGATACATTTATTTTCTTGGTTATAAGAAAAATGCAGTTTTTTCGATTTTTTATTTTCTTAAGTAGGCACTGCAAACAACAGTTTGACTTAACGTAAATACCTGTCACCGAGTACTGTTATTATTGAATATTGTTAATATTGCTTTATTATTGTCAAAGATGTTAGGCGGTCATTTTAGCAATGAAGCAACGTTCGACATGCTGACGTGCTACATTCTGTGCTACAAAAATACTAAAAATACTGCAGAAATCTATCTTGATAAACTTCCCGAAAGAAGGCAGTCAAGTAAGTCCACAGCCTAATTTATTTTGCGTAAAAATAAATATCACTCCTATAAATTCGGATTTGCCAAGGACTTAGAACAGGGGATAGCGAATGGCGCCAGCATTTTTTAATGTCCCTTCAAAAATAGTATCGTCCGACGAGAGTATGGTCAAGTAATAATGGTATCTTTAATATGCGGGCTAAAAAGGTATCCAGTTATCAGGAACGTTTTGGGTTTAATATGTGATGTGGCATTGTAGGGACCAAAATATTAGGTCAATTTATTTACCACAACTCATTAACTGCAGAGCGGTACCTTTAATTGTTGTAACATGATCTAGAAGACTGCCTCGATAGTTTACCCCAGATTTATACTCTATTTATTTCACGAGTATCCATCACGCTTCTACGTCTACTGAGGTAAGCAGCCGATGTGCAAGTGACACTTTTGTGTTAGTGTGCAACGTTGGAAATAATGAATTGGGTGTAAATCTAGTAAAACTTGTTTCCAGCGTTTTGTTTTTTGTATGGAAATGAAATAATACAGTTTTTATCAAGTACAAAATGAATCTGTATCGTACAAAAACCAAAACCAATTATGAGTACCTGACATTGACGGATCTGTCAGAATTAGGTGTCCTTTGCCGATATGGGAGATTTTGAATTTTTACTAGATAAGCAGCTGTCATTCTATCGTAGTGAATACTCGTGAAAAAGACTATAACTCATCTGGACTTTTTGTTTTGGAGTTTCATTAAAAACCAAGTTTACGTGTAATGGAAGCATTTAGTACTATTACACCAGAAATGTTACATGATGTTTTGAATTCTACTGTTAGTAGATCATATTTATGTTGAAATAAAAAACATATTTCTTTATAACCAAGAAAACAAATGTAACATGTGATACATCGTTGAATATTTATAAGAATATGCTACCAGATACAGGGTGTACTTTTTTTCGGCCATATAAAATAAAGTTAATAATGGTTTCTCAAAAACGGAACGTCGAGCACAAAATTTAAAAATACCATCATGTAGTGCCTAAAAAGTTCCATTAGTTTTTTGATACTTCTTAAAATAAGGTCAGTTTTTCCCAAATACCTCAGTAACCCATTAAACTTTTAAAAGTTTCTCAACGGCCCAAAGAACGCAGCTTTCTCCTAATTTAACCTAAGCTGTATCTCCCACAGGTATTCAGATCCCCATGCAGAGGATCCTTATCTTGGACACCCTGTATAGTTTGTACTGGTTTTTACATTTCTCTCGTATGCGATTGGAGAATATATTAATCCATGCTAATACACTATGATTTTGTATGCACAGCCATTACTTGTCATTTTATTATACACATACTCACGTACACACTTACGCACACACACTCACACACACACACACTCACACACACACACACACACACACACACACACACACACACACACACACACACACACACACACACACACTCACACACACACACTCACGCACACTTACACTCACACACACTCACACTCACATACACTCACACTCACACACACTCATGCACTCACACTTGCACACTCACACTCACATACACACTTACGCACACACTCACACACACACAAACTCACGCACACACATTATTTAAATGACTTTATGTTTAGTGTTGGATCTCCCGGTAAACCACGTCCGCCTTCAGAGAATTCCGCCAAGAAGACCTCCTCCGAGTCTTCAGCTGTAGAGCAACCTATCAAAATCGCTGTTCAAGCTCAAGTATATGCCGATCGAGGTAAATTATATTAACAAATAACCGTCCATAATTCAACTAGAGGTGTAAAGTTATACGGGATCAACAAAAGCTGATAGAGAACCTCAATACTCACCTATCACCTATAGTTGTAAAGTCAATAGTTCGGTTGCTATTTCCACATTCGTGAAATTTTTGATAAAAATCCGATTGTCAGCCCAACTTTGTAGGTGCAACAAAATCTCTACTAGGTCTACTACGGCTGTGTTTATTCCTATAAGTAGTGCAAACATGTGCTTTTTCGACCGCTATGCTGTTTTGAGAGCAAATATTATTGTTTCATGATCTGTCAAGAAACGCCTTTTTCCACTTCTTTAAGAATCAATCAGTTGCAAACACACGCCGCACAGTAGTTCAGAGGGCACCATCTCAGCGAAAATAGTAGTAAAGTAAGTATTAAATAGCATATTTCTCTTTACGGTTTCTGCTAAGATATTTTTTTAAACGAAAAATTAACTATTTGCATGATTTTCTTTTTTATTACATTATTTCATCTCTCATTTATTTAACTTCAAAACCATAAAATACATTTTATCAATTTTCATCTTAAATTTTATAAAAATTTAGGCGTGCCCTATGACGTAACTGTAATCACAGGAGGCTCTGACCTATTAAGTTCAATATAGTTGACGTTTGGAAGAACAACTGAATTTGAAAGGAATGTTGACAGTCGCTTTGCGCTGTCGAGGCATATTTTTTAGTAAATCTGTGCAATTTTTTCGGAAGTTTGACACTAATGGGTGCCGATAACAAAGTGTAGGTATTTCCATGTTTTAAAAACAAGTTTAAAATGTGCGTTTGAGATACTTCAATACATAAACAAAAATTTTTTAGAGTTTAGTGCGCGACAGATACCAACCAAAATGAAAAATATGGATTTATTTAACGAGTGGTATTTGTACAGAACCAGAAACAGACTTCACCTGTTAAAAACGCTCAAGTTATATTTTTTACACCACAAAAACGTTAATGTACAACTATTTTTACTAAATTTGATTCATATCTTTATTATAGGAAAAAACTACATTTTGACGGAATTTATCGCATACTCAGTTTCTGTAAAGTTCTGAGCTTTTCGATTTAGGGTCCCTACAACCTGCATTGATGGAGAAATTTGCGAATTTCTCGAAAACTGTTCACCATGCCCTATTTTAACAGGAGTGCCTTTTTTGCTTGAAAATATCGAAGAAATTGTTTTTTTGACAAAAAAATTAAAAAAGCACACTGAGAATCGGAGTGCAGTGTGAAGCGCCCTCTAACGTCCACAATGAAAAAATATCCATATTCGGGTTTCGCATCCCAAAGAAACACTGGATACCAATTTTTGAAGTAATACGTTAATAAATGTTCATGAATTAAAAAAAAAGATATTTATTTCCTAATTTTACCACCCTGTATCTCGGAATCAGAGCAATTTTGGACTAAGGTATGTTACTTCAAATCGGCTTATTTTGAGCTCAGGAATATGTGCTAATGTTTTGTAAAGACCTTTTAGGGGCGCCCTGTATAGTAGTGCGGATAGGTTAGTCAGACAAACCGGTGCGCCGGGTGGTGAGCTGCAGATGTACGGAAAAATCTATGGTGTGTGACATATGGCTAATATGAGCATATAATCAACAACATGTTTCATATACCCTGTTACAGTTTCTTTTTATGGTCGACTAAAGATTAACTACATGATAAAGTGTAATAATTCACTCATCATTCTTTATAATTTCTGTTGACCGTAAGTACGAGAGCTGAAGGTGACTTGGTGCTATTTCCGGTGCTCTACCTTAGGAATTTTCTGCGGCCCACTACCCGATTCTGTGAATAGTTCACACCCTCAGTTTCGGACTTAAAGGGTGGTGAGGTGGTTTTTATCAGAAATCGGCCCCCTTGGTGTTTTTTTTTTTGTTGTTTATGTCTAGTTGTATGTGCCTGTTTGACTGAATTAAAAGGTTCATTTTCTCTAGTCTACATGACCGAAATTTTCTCAGAGGATTCAACCCACTTGACGCCTTTGACGCCGGTGGTAATCTGGAAAAGGTCTAAGTATTTATTCAACAAACAAGGTGCTGTGTATGCGTTGTCATTTTTACTGATCTGAACAAAGCGTTTGTTTGCTCAAAAATTATTCTGCTACGGAATACGGGGAGTTGCAAATGATACTGTAAGATCTATCTTACTGATAGGGTTCAAACGGCCCTTGTGAATAATTATAGCAGTGATAACCAAAAGAGGCGTACCTCAAGAATCCACACTTGGAGCCTCTTATTTTTATTATACATGAATGACATGTCTAAATATATGTTAGTCTAATTAATACTCCTGTCACAACAACCATATATGCCGATGACACCCCTTTCGGTTTCCATGCCCCTTGGGGATAAATTAAGTGAAAAATACAGGTACGCTTATTGATGATTTTAAACCATTAAAAAAAGTCGTTCTACGCAAGTAAGCTGCACTTGAATACAGAAAAAAACAAGATATGAACATTTTCTTTTCAAAAACGCATACCTGGCACGGTGGTGGAGTTCTTAGGAACAGACTCGGACTCTTGTATAACTTCCATCATTAATGCTTTATGTCCAAAACGCAAATGATGTTTATTCATGTTTTGTCCATTCCGTTATGCAAGTTATTCAACAAAAACATGTAAATTTCCAGATGCGTGTAAAACCGCAAGAGTGTGCCCATTTTCTCATATAGTTAACTACAGAGCATTTTCGATTTTATGTAAGTGTGCTAAGGTAAAGGAAATAATCATCATAATCACAGTCGAATATACAATTCCGTACGAGATGTCATTCCACCCTGTCAGCATGGCTTTGTGGCAAAAAGATGAGCGACAACAAATCTAAGCCTTTGACAGGTTGGACCATCTAGTTCTTATCAACGAACTTGAAAATGATGGCTTAGATCGTTCAGCTTTGCTATTTTTTTAATCATATCTATCTAGGAGAAGGTAGTCTGTGTCATATAATGGTTACAACTCTTATGAATATGCTTGCACATCGGGGGTGCCGCGGGGATCAAATCTTGGCCCATTGATTTTCACAGTATTTATAAATGACTTGTTTGATACTCTCAATTGTAATAAACTTGTTTATGTTGACTATTTGAACTTTTTCCTATCAATTACAAGTATGCAGGACTGTCATACCTTACAGATAGAAGTCAATAATATTCAGACTTGGCGTCAAGTAAGCAAACTTGATTTGAATATAAAAAAGTGTAACGTAGTAAGATTTACTAGAAGGAAAAGCCCGTTTGTCTTCGATTACACTATAAGCGATGAGGTACTTTCTCGTTGTCAAAAAACTAAAGATCTGAGAGTTGTTTTTACTCAAGTTTGTCTTTTGTCAATACCGGTTAATGCCGCATCAAACACGTATGGATTCATAATGAGAAACTGTCGATCTTTCACTCGTGTTCAGGTTCTTACAACAATGTATACTAAGTGACATATAAATCAGAACACCCAGTTTAAATTGTTTTATTTTAATAAAAGTTGGTGTATGTATTTATCTTACTGTAAATAACAAATGAAAAAATGTTCAGCCTTATCAGTTGGACATTCCGGTTTTTATACTGTTTTTTTTTAATTCATTAACGCTCTAAAAATGAATATTTCAGCCGCAGTAAAGAATCAACGTTGGCGGATTTTGGTTATTGACATACTTTACGATCGGTTACGATGCCTAGAGTACGGAGACCTCTACGATTTCTTCAACTTAGTGAGTTTGATAGGGGCCGTATAGTGGGACTTCGGGAAGCTGGACTTTCTTTTCGGGCAATTGCAGATAGAGTGCAAAGAAGTCTAGACACTGTGGTTAGGTGTTGTCAGGCATGGCTTCGAGAAGGCCGTACGCAAAGAGCAAGGGGCACTGGACGCCGCCGTAGAACAACAGACCGTGAAGATCGCCGCCTAAGATTATTGGCCTTAAGGGACCGTTTCTCCACTACCAGCTCCATTGCAAATGAATGGTTTGCAGAACACGGAAGACCTATTGGCATGCGAAGTGTTTACCGACGAATGATAAGTTTTGGCTCGTTTTCATACCGGCCACACTGGGTCCTCCCTTTAACTCGATGAAATCGCCTTGAGTGGTGCAGACAACGGTCACTCTGGGATCAGGAATGCAACAGTATTGTCTTTAGTGACGAGTCTCGATTTTGTTTAGGCATGCACGATGGTCGTGCCAGGGTTAGAAGGCGACGTGGTGAAAGGAGGAATCCACAGTTTTTTGTTGAAAGACATGTTCATCACACTGTTGGAGTTATAGTTTGGGGTGCTATAGCTTATGGTTCCAGGTCACCTTTAATCTTGATCAGAGGTAACATGAACGCGCAGCGTTATATCCACGAAGTTCTAGAACCCCATCTTTTACCCTACCTTGACACCCTGGCAGATCCAACTTTCCAACAAGATAATGCCGGACCACATGTTGCAAGAGTCACAATAGACTTCTTTCAACATAATGATGTCACATTGTTACCATGGCCACCAAGATTGAGCACATGTGGGATATGATGGGTAGGAGATTGCTCAATTTGCAACGTCCTCCTCAGACTCTAGAAGCACTTCGAGAGGAGTTGGTGGTTGCCTGGAATGAGATACCACAGGAGGACATTGACCACCTGATCAGAAGCATGCCTAGGCGCGTTGGAGAATGCGTAGCACATCAGGGTGCATCCACGCATTATTATAGGTCAAAGGGCTTCAAAGCAGTGCAATCATTTTGAAATTTTTATAATTTACTTATTATGCTTCATTAAGTACTTATACAAAATTTTATTAAAATAAAACCATTTAAACTGGGTGTTCGGATTTATATGTCACTTAGTATATTTGACTTTTGTCCTCTCAAAAAAAGAATCTGCAGCAATTATTTGGTATCTCTATTACTTCAGACATAAAATGGCAATTGAGATAGTGCAGCGATACTTTTTGAAACTCTTCGCTTACAAGACTGACAGTACTGCTTCTCTTAGGAATATGCTTTATGAGCATCTTACTTTTAGATTTGGATTAGAACTTCTGGATCTAAGACGAAAATGTAATTCTATAATCATTATGTATATAATAACTTAGACGCCTTAGATGAAATACCGAACCCTTCCATTGTGAGAGAGCTAGAACTAATTTGCTTCTGAAGTTGCCAGTATTAACAATGTGTGAACATTTTAATTCGATTTCTCCTGTTTGTGATTTGAATGTTGACAGTAACTCAAATATACTGAACTGTGGTCGTTTGCACCATTATTATTATTATTATTATTATAATTACATCTACTTGACGTTATTTTCTTATACAGGTTCATACCTAGACGAAAATGGATATCAAGTTCGCGCCGATAGAACAGGCAAAGACCTTGCTGCACCTCTACCCGTACACCAGCCATCTATAACTCCAATGCAGATAGAACATGCCATAATGGAACTTCCAGAATCCGAGGAGTTGCGTCCAACTCACATGGAGGTGGTAGAAACAGCACCAACTGTGGCCGTGGTTCCACCAACAGCAGAAACGATACCGTCAGCTTCCGCAGAAGTACATGCAGCAGTAGTTGAGACGGCTGAACAGGAAATGGAAGCTACGAGGATGATAGTTGAAGCAAAACAGCGTAAAGGAGCTGTTCCTAAGAAGCCCAAAATTTTCGATGAGGTACAATCAATTAAGTTAATTAGATGAATTAATTCACCAAACATTCTCGCGACAGTATTTTTCGAATTACGCGTTTGCTATTTTGAGTAGATATGGCATTTGAGGTTTTTTGAGTTTTTTTCATCATTAATTACCAGTGTATAATTCCTTTAAGTGCAAAACAATTGGAGGGAGGAGGTCAAGTCCAATCTCACGTAACAGAGAGAGGGGATCTCAGCAAATATTACGTGCCTTTGAGAATCGTTCATGGCGTATTTGAGAAAAACTAAAATTTGACCAGATAGTTTCTATTTTTTTTACTTTATTTTAAGAAATACCAAAAAACTCATGGAACTATTTCATTGGCACTTTTTCAGCACTACGTGTGTTTTTAAATTTTGTGTCCGACCTTTCGTTTTTGAGAAACCATCATTAGCTTGATTTTTATATGGTCCAAGAAAAATACTAGTATCTTCTTTTACGAATTTAACGATGTATCACATGTTACATTAGTTTAGTTAGTTTTGAAGAAAAATGTATATTTTTTATTTTATTTAAGTAAGTAGGCGTTACAAACGAATGAATTATGTAATGATTACTGGTAGATGCATATTACTTATTTCATAATGAAATGATGGGGTAAAATTTTATAAAATGATGCTTGGTCTAGTACAGGGTTTCTCAAGCGGTGGTTCGCAAGCTATATGAAAAAATTATTGTAATGGCAGAATTTGTCCTCAATATTGCAACACCGCCGCTATAACAATCCGGCAAGAGTTCTACTTCGGCGAATCGAGCGCATGAGATGGGAATTCACGGGAAAAGGTCGCAGTCACGGAAGTGCGAGTACAGTCGAAACGCGAAAGGAAATTGGAAGGTGATAAGAATTATAGGGTTTCTGCTTTTCTGTCGGCTTTCAACGCAGATAGTAAAATGGCTCTTAAAGCAGTTAGTTACAGAATCGCAAGATCTGAAAAAGCTCAAACAGTGGCAGAAAATTTGATCGGACCTTGTACTAAAGACATCGCAATGTGTATGCTTGGAGCAAAAGCGGCAAAAAATTGACCTTGACTTATCAAACAGCACAGTGTGACGGAGAATTTACGATTTGGCGAACAGTGTTGAAAATGAACTTTTGAAAAGAATAAAATTGAATTAATTAATTTAACTTGACGAGTCGACCGATGTAGCAAACTATGCAATATTGCTCGTGTATGTTAGATATATTTTTAAGAATTCGATTCAAGGAGATGTGTTATTTGCAAAACCACTGGATGCTTATACGACGGGTGCCGCAATTTTCAAGCTGATCAATGACTATTTTGAAAAACATAAAATCAACTGGTCATTTTGCTTAGATGTATTCACAGATTGTGCAAATTCAATGACTGGAACATATTCTGGACTTGTGGCACCAATAAAGAAGATCAACGAGAATATAGAATGGATTCGCTGATGTATTCATAGGCAGGCATTGGCATGTAAGCATATTCTTGCAGAGTTAGCCAGTACTTTAAGCGAGGCTGTAAAAGCTGTGAATTTTATAAAGTCCCCTGCTACAAATTCTCTTCTATTCCGTGAACTTTGTGAGGACTTGGGAAGTCTCCACGTCTCTTTATTACTTCATACAGGCTTTCTCGTGGCAAAGTTTTGACCCGCTTGCTTGAATTGAAGGCATTTTTTCTTGACCATCCATTTCATTTGTCTGTATCCGACATTCTGTGGCTCCAAAAACTTGCATACCTTATCGATATTTTTTCTAAATTAAATGAACTAAATATGTGTTTACAAGGTCCAGGAATCACGATTTTCAATGTTCATGATAGAATAGAAGCCATGCTAAAGAAGTTCAACTTTTGGAATCAATGTCTGTAGATGAATGAGAACGATTGTTTTGGTTCTCTCAGCAGCATTTTACCAGAAAATAAAATTCAACTCAACGAAAACATTAAAGGAGATATTACTGAACGTCTCAAACAGTTTCAATTAACGTTCAAATAGTATTTTCCTAATAAACCTGGATCAAACAACTGGATACGCAAACATTTTGAAGGAGATATAATTTCTAACCCCTTTTTGTCTTTATTGGAAAAAGAAAAACTCATTAATTTATCCTTTGACAATTTTTTAAAAGCGGTTTTGCAGATCATTCTTCAATAGACTTCTGACTCAATGTAAAATATGAACAACCTATCTTAGCAGAAAAAGCCTTGATAATTCTGTTACGTTCTGCGCAACGTATCTGTGTGAGAAAGGATTTTCAACATACACTTACCTCAAAGATAAGTTTAGAAATAATTTAAAAACAGAACCTGATTTAAGACTTAAGAGTTTAGACATTGAACCACATTTTGAATTTCTTTGTTCCAACAAACAGGCACAAATATCCCAAGATTTTTACAAGTATCGAATTACTTGTATTCATATTATATTAATTCTTTTTTTTTGTAAGGTTTTAATAACGTTTCTTTAAACGTTTTACGTTACAGTTATGTTTTAATTTACTTTGCTCATTACAACTATTACTCATATGATTAATAAATTTTGATTACAGCCAAATCGTACTGTTTTACTTACTCTCACTCACGATTGATCAGAGGGTTCGCCGATACCTGTATATTCCAATTTTTATAAGGGGTTCGAAGAAAGAAAAAGGTTGGGAACCGCTGATCTAGTGATATTCAGAATAACGAATACATTTTTAACATTATTTTCATTTTTTTCACAATAGTTGATCAAATAGGTTGCCATTATTTTCTGAACATAAACGTGATCTTCTAACAGTAAAATTATTTAAAACAGCACGTAACATTTCTGGTACTAAATGCTTCCATTATACCTTCTCGTAACTGCTGCTCAGTTTCAAAAGTATGCTGATGAACTTGGTTTTTAATGAAACTCCAAACAAAAAAGTCAAGAGGAATTAAATCCGGGGAACGCGCTGGCCAGGACACTTCACTGGAGGTTCCAATCTACCTTCCGAGAAATCGCTGGGTAAAGATACTCTCGAACTTGCCTATATTTAGGTGTCTTGTTCTAACCAACAATTAACCTGCCCCAAGGTTAAATTATCCAGGAAGTCTCATGGACCATCTTGCAACAATTGAAGGTACCGTTGCAATTGATGAGTAGCGGTAAATAAATGGACCTAATATTTGGGACCCTAGAATTCCACACCACATATTAAACACAAACCCAAACTTTTCTAGCCCGCAGATTGTCTTGAGCCAAGTGATGAATGTTGCGGTGACCAAAGATACCATTATTACTTGACCATACTCTCGTCGGACCATATATCGCAAAATAAATTGGGCTGTGCATTTGGATTCTCCTAGATTTTTCTTAATTTGCCTAGTTGATATCTCAGAGTTCTCAGCAACAGACTGTGAAGTTCTATTCTGAGTTTCCTCTAAAGATTGCTTTTTTCGAGACTTACAGGCTTTATGAATGAACCATATTCATTTAAATTTCGAACCAACTGTGAGAAAATGGACTTAATTGGCGGCCTTCTTTCGGAAAATTTATCAAGTCTCCAGTATTCTTAGTATTTTTGTAGTACAAAATGTAGCACGTCAGTATGTCGAACTCTTATTCATTGCTAAAATGACCGCCTGGCATCTCTGACGATAATAAAGCAATACAAAATAAATATCGGTACAATAAATAAAAAAACAAAAAATGCATGTTTTCTTATAACCAAGACAATTAACGTAACTTGTGATACATCGTTGAATTCGCATATAAAAATGTTATTAGATACAGGGTATACTTTTTTCGACCCATATAAAAAGAAGTTGATGGTTTCTTACAAAATCTAAAAACACCATCATGTAGTGCCCATAAAGTGCCGATGGGAAAGTTTGATCAGTTTTTTGATATTCCTTAAAATAAAGTCAGAAAAAAATAATTATATTTACATAATTAAATTTGAAAAAAGAACGCAACTTTTTCCTAATTTAGCCTTAGCTGTATCTCCCACTGGTATTGATATCCCCGTGCCTAGAATTAACTATATTTATATGCTTCCCATTCCGGTGATTATACGCACCTATTGCACATATTTCACTTATCATAGATTTCACCGTATATTTGCCGTTAGACTTTGAACGGTAGAGAAATATTTTCTTCACACGCGTTTCTGAATATACTTGCGTCGAAGTGAGACGGACGAGTGGCTGCAACGGCTGGCGAGTGGCGAGGTCTTTAATAGCAACGTTGCCAGATGGTCGGCGATGTCAGTAGGGCAGGGGAGACATTTCTAGATCGCAACGTTGTTGCTGACTGAATTGTTACATTTAATTTTCTTATTATACACGTTCGTAGCCTAACTTTTTCCTCGGAGAGGCTAAGTTGCATGTACATATCCTTCATAACCTGATTACATCGTTGCGTGGGAAGTGCAAAGTCAACCTGCTTAACGTAATTTTTCATATTTACTATAAGCTTCCAACCAACAAGTAGTTTCTATTAAGAACTGTCAAATACAGTGATCTAAACAAGTTAAAGAAATAATGCTACCAGGCTGCCCATTGAATTCATCTGGTACAGTCCAGTAATTATACGCACATATTTCACTTAAAATAGATTTCATCGTATATTTGCCATTAGGCCTTGAACGGTAGAGAAATATTTTCTTAACACGCGTTTCTGAATATACGAGGGGGTACCAAAAAAATGAATTACTTTTTAAAAGCTATTTATTTAAGTAACCTTATCTTCCAAAATACTGTCCACTACAACTAATTCACTTGTCCCACCGATGCTTCCACTGCTCGAATTGTTGAAGACTTTCTTAGAAATGTCTGACAACTCCTACCTCGTTTTTTTCTTGACCTCTTCAATGTCGTCAAAGTGACGTCCTTTCATGCCCCTTTTCATCCGTGGAAATAAGAAAAAGTCGCACGGATCCAGGTCAGGCGAATAATGTGCGTGAGGCAGCGGGATCATGCCATTTTAAGCCAGAAACTGTCTAGCAGAGATGGCTGTGTGCGCAGGTGCATTGTCGTGGTGGAAGAACCAGTCTCCTGACTGCCACAAATTGGGTCTTTTTTGCCGAACACTGTTTCTCCAAATAGCACAAGCTCCCGATTTTTTCAACATTTTTGGATTATTTCATTTTTACAGGATCGCAAAATGCTTGATAAACTGATGGTCAAAACTAAGCCAGTTAATGCAGTCATTACATGGTGCTTGGTGAGTTGTTTTATTTTTTCAAATAAAAAGCTATTTTGATCTGATGGTATTCGTTAAACTATTTTTTCAAACATCTATCTCATTGTCACAGAGACAAAGTAATCGCTTTACCGGCCCTGAGGTTCGGTACAGATTTGTGCCTGATGCTGAACTCAACATGACTAGATTGTACCAAAAACTATGGGACGATGCAACGGACGGGGCAGTTGAACGAATTCGTGCTGCTACTAGAGGCTCCGGGTATGGAAAGAACATAACTATAAAAGTCTGAAATAATATTCGTTTGTATAATTCACCCACAAAGTAGCCAATTTTTTGATACACCTTCGACACGTAAAACTTTGTTATACAAGATGTTAGGGAAATAAACTTTAAGAGGTGATTCCTTGCATTATTCTAAGCAAAAAAGTTCATTATAACCTATGTCCGAAAATCAGCCGTTTCGAAGCAAAAAAAAATGATTAACTTATTTCTTTTTAGTCATGAAATAAATTAATGTTGCACCTTAAAAATTTAAATTCATACGCCTAATAGCGTAAAATGTATCAATACATATATTTATTAATTAACTGTCTCTAACAAAATAATTTTCTTGCTTATTAAATACAATTTTTCGAAGAAAAACAGACAAACAAAATCCCTCATACAACTGGCCTACACTGCATGTATCATCGCGTATTGTATTCATTACTAATACATTTAATTGTAATTTTATGTGATTACGGATGTTGTTTTTTTTTTCTTTTTTCGTGCATCGCATTGTTTCAAATAAGTGACTGATAATCGTGGGAATTGATGATGTGTATCGCCACGTACCGGAAAGTCCTGTCATTTTTTTTTAAGTAAATGTACTGTACTGAAAACGTTATTAAATAAAAAATATTAGCCACAAAAAATTGCGTAAAAGTATTCAATAATTCAAGGCGTACTTTCAACAAAAATATCATGCAAACGTAAACAATTCGATGACTCAGTTGTGGTCGGCATTCGCTCGTATCGCGGTTTAAATAATTGATTAATTATTTACGACTCACTTTCCTCGAAAACGATTGATTTTCAGACATAAGATATAATGAACTGTTTTTGCTTAGAATAATACAGGGAATCACCTCTTAAAGTTACGAATGTTATTTTCCTAACACCCTGTATATGGCATATTCCAGAGTTTCTGTTTTTTTTGTATTATTTTCCCGCTAAAAACCACTAGGCATGTATACTATTTAATAATTATGTCCAAAGAATGTTATTGTTCTTTACAGAAAAAAAAAAGAAAAGAGCATAACACTATAACGCCATTGCCATACAAAAACTCTATTAAAAAAATAAAATGATATTTATGAAGTAACAATTTATTATCCTCTCATGAAATATATTTTTAGGGTGGGTGATATCCGAGTTTCAGAACAGGTGCCTGAAGTTCAATCAGGCAGATCCACATTGGACAAAGGATCTTCTGCAGAAAACTTGGCTACCCCAAGAGAGACGTCTTCAGAGGAGAGAAGGCTTTCTAGACGACTCACCCCTATCAGGTGAACAATTTTTCAGCTTTCTTTTTAAATTCTTGAGTTTTGTGTATGTAGGTCGTTATAAGATTTATATACTGGGCGGCAAGGCGCACCTTATGAATAGGTTCCACGGTCCTACTTTTCAGTTCATCTATTGGTCAATGTATGGTCGATTTATTTTTATTTTTACTTCTACTGAACATTACTTATTTTTTCTATTTTATCTAGTCGTAGATACAATTTTGTATACATCTCGGACGATATGAGTGTTTACGTCCCTTGAAGTGTTAGATCTTGCAGCGCCTTGACCGTAGGGTTTTGATTTCACACCGCGGCCCATACACCCCGCTTGATGCTCTAGTTACATAAATAACTATAGTAGAACCCCCATTATCCAAAATAATGTGGACCCAAGTGCTTTCGGATAATCGAAATTTCGAATAAAACGGAAATAACTATTTAGACTCGTAATGCTTCTACTGAAAAAAGTACATGCGTGTGTTAAGTGAGTATATACCCATGTAAGGTTACGTAAAATATAAACATGTGGATACAAACTTACATATTTAGGAGTATTTAGTAACAAAGGAATTCCTATTTTTCACAGCAATATCCCTCCAACGTTTGTTTTGTTGTTCGACGTAAGTCAACGCCTTTTGTAGAGCTTCTAATTCCTCAGAATGTGATACTTTGCCACATATTTCTGTCTCATTGTCACCAGCATCACTTAAAACTGTCTTATCGTCATTGTTTTTATTAGTTCTGTATCAGTTAATTCTTCCTCCAATTCATCACCATTAATCCACTCCCCATCATCTGCTTTGATAAGATATTCAAACCCTGCTATTTTTACGACGATCTCATGTAAATTTTTGTTTTTATTCTCATAGTCTGCGCAAGATTCCATTTCTTGCTTAATTATTATTGTCGACCAAGATTTTTGTAATGTAGAATTTGTTTCTTGACTCCATGCTTCTGCTATCCAATATGCCCAATTCTTGAGGTTAATCTCTTTTAAACAATCAACGAGGTTACAAACATTATCAACCTGATCTAAAATTTGCTCTAGTAACAAACGTCTGTAATTGCGTTTTAAATTTTCTAAAACTCCTTGATCCATTGGCTGAATCAGAGTCGTTACATTAGGAGGCAAAAACATCACTCGTATTTCTCCACTTTTAAGTTGCTCCTTACTTGGGTGGCTCGGAGCATTGTCTATTTATTATATCTATTTCTCGGATATCCGCATTCATTCAAATATCGTTCTATCTTGGGAACAAAATGATTGTAAATTCAGTCCCTAACTAGAGCGGCATTCATCCAGGCATTTTTTTGATTTTTGTACCGCACTGGAAGAGCGTTGGGACGGACGTGTTTAAATGCTCTTGTTTTAGCTGATTTTCCAATTAACAACAAAGGAAGTTGGTGTGTACCGGAAGCATTGCTACAAGCAAGGATAGTCACACGTTCTGTACTGCGTTTGTAAGCAGGAGCTGCAGATTCTTGTTTTGAAGCTAAACTTTTCGCCGGTAGCATTTTATAGTTTAGGCCAGTTTTGTCGCAGTTGTAAGTTTGTTCTGGATTTAAATTTAAATTTAATTCTTTAAGACGTTCTCCAAATTTTAATGCAGCGGACTTATCGGCATATAACTTTTCTCCACAAACTTTTAATTCTCGTATACCATGTCGTTTTTCCATCTATGCAGCCAACCACCACTGGCTGTAAAGTTATCAGGCGCCTCAATAACTGGCAGTTCTTCACTTAAGTGCTGCCTTTTGCTTTAGAATTGGTCCGGAAATTGGTATTCCACGTTCTTGTTTTTGTGTAAACCATAGGTATAAACCCATCATCCACTTTTTGATATTCCCCCTTTTTCATAGTTTTCCGTGATAGCTGCGATGATGACCACTTTTCAATTTTCTCGCGTTGTTTTCACCATTCTGAAATCATACTCATGCCCACACCCAAATCACTTGCCATGTTTTTAAGCAAACCATCCCTATCTAAGCGTCTGATTGCCTCAAGTTTCTGTTCTATGGTAATAACAACGGGTTTACGTTTATTTCTGTGCTGCTTCATCTTAGCGATTATGAACCTGACTGAAACAAACATACACGCACACATACCAGGGGAATCACTGACAGTGAATCTACTACTACTACCGGCGGCTATTTCGGATCATGCTTCGATTTCCCGAACAACTTCGGTTAAAACGGAGAAATTATTGTATGCGATCTGTTTCGGATAAAGCGGATTTCGGATAATCGGGGTTCTACTGTATTACCTTTTTTCAGATTGCCATCGACAAGAGCTGAAGAACCTTTGCCTACTGAGCAATTTACTAGACGTACCACGGAGTAAGTATTCCATATTTAAGTTAACTATATGTGCCAAAAGAAAAAATCTTTTGGTAAATTACTATAAATAGAGCAAAATAATGGTGCATCTGACGAATCTATGCCTTTGTTGAGTCGTATATACAGATACAGATTCACACATATACAAAATCTATATATGTTGTTTTCCCATGAAGTATTGTAATCGCGAACATTTTCGAAAATTGGATAATATGTTTTTTGATGTGATATATGTATGTACATCACGAAAAACCATATCACTCATTTCTTCAAATACTATAACCGCCTATGTACTTGCATTTTGATGAAATTTCTACACAATGTTACTGATATGCCAATGACGAAAAAGCTTTGTAGTTTTTGAAAATCGTTATTAAAAAAAGATATATGTAAAAAATTTACGGGTGAGAGTTGAAGGGGGTTGGGTAGGGTATATGTCAATTTTTGATATTAGTATATTCATGTATACAAAAGGTCACCGTTGCGACCGAAACATACTGCATTAAAGAATTTCAAATATACAGGTTGTCTGCGAAAGCTTGGGAAATCGCGAAACTGGAGATACTACAGACCAAAATATGTGAATTGACCTGAACATACCTCTGTTCAAAAGTTGAGTTTGCGAGATACAGGGCGCCAAAGTTACAATTTTATTTTCTATTTTTCCTTATTGCTTGAAAAGTATTTCAGGTTTTGGCATAAAACTCGGTACAAGGAGGTTTTCTAATATGAGAAACAAGAGTCCGTTATTTTTTATGGCCAAACTTCTAGAGGACGCCACTTACAGCACTATTTCGGTAAATAACGGTAATACATCTGACCAAAAAATCTCATTTTCTCGTTTTTACACAACAAAAAAGGTTCACTTGTTAGGAGTGTCTAAAGCTAATAAGTTTTCAAGATATTTTTATAACATAATAATCAAGTTGCTTTGGATAATGCTTTAAAAGCACGAAGATTGTACGCTGACAGATTCCCTAATAGCCACCTCCCTAATTCAAAGACTTTCCAACGAATCGATCAGCGGAGAAACTGGTAAGAAATGATTATCGTCTTAAGTTGACTAATAAGAACCATTTGAATTTTAAGTGTTTTGCTCAAAATATGGGCCAACATGGTGGAGCTGAAAGAACTGTAAGTACAGCTGAAGTTAAATAAAATGTTTTAGATGATGTCCTTGAAAATACTACAGTTGGGGTTAGGAATGTAGACAGTATGGTTTCCGGCACCAACGATCCACAGGGGACCTCCTAGCTTACGTCACTCAATTGTGGAGTAAACTCATCCAGTCTTATGATAAGGCTCATGTCGTTGCTCTTGACATCACGATAGCGTTCGATCAGCTGTGGCACGCTGCCCTCTTAAGCAAACTTCCATCCTATGGCCTCCCAGAAAAGCTTTGCAGATGGGTGGCTGACTTTATCTCTGGCCGCAAGATATCCGTCGTAATTGACGGGTTCTCCTCTTCATCCCACAACGTCAACGCGGGTGTTCCCCAGAGATCGGTCTTGGCTCCGACACTGTTTCTCTTACATATCAACGACCTCCTTTCCTTCACGATTAACCCAATCCACAGCTTCGCTGATGACAGCACTTTACATGCAGGAATTCAGAGTGACAAGCCGATCTCTGCCGCTGAGTTGGAAAAAAGAAAACTAGCGATGACTTCCTCTCTGACAAGAGACCTGGAGGCTATCACTGCTTGGGGACGAAACAATCTTGTACAGTTCAATGCTTCCAAAACGCAGTACTGTACTTTGACGGACAAAAAGCGTCCCTGCGCTCACCCGGTTTAGATGGATGGTCGAGTTCTGTCAAAGGGCCATTCATTTCGGCTGGTCGGAGTCCAGATCGCCGAGGACCTGATCTGGCACGAACACATCTCGTCAATAGCTGCAGCTGCTGGGAAAAAGCTAGGCTATTTGTTTAGGGCTAAGAAATACTTTTCTCCGCATGACTTTCTCACTCTATACAAGGCCCAGATAAGGCCTAGCCTCGAGTATTGCTCGCACGTTTGGGGTGCTGCCGCTCCGACTACATTATGCTCTGATGACTCTTCTCCAACAGACAGTCTCGGGACTCTTTCGCACCGGCGGGCTGTCGGCGATCTGGCTCTTTTCTACCGTTGCACCAACGGGCTTTGCTCCTCAGAGCTCTCTTCCATGATGCCGTCGCTCGATGTGCCTGCCAGACAGACCCGCCTAACTTTGGCGTCCCATCCTAACCGTGTCGAACTTCGTACATCCAGAACCGGCCGATACGACCGCTCCTTTGTCCCGAGGGTGTCGAGATTGTGGAACAATCTACAAGAGGAAGCTTTTCCCAGTTCTATTAACCTTAGGCAGTTCAAAAATCGTATTAATAAAATTACTTTGGGATCATCATAGCAGCCGCGGTGTTCCGGAATTTAGGCTTCTGCCTGCGCTGCTGCTTCAATATCAAAAAAAAATTACAAACTTGCATGAACATGTGGTTCATGCACGACGGCGCTCTACCTCATTTTAGTACATTAGTTAGAGAGCACCTGAATAGAGGTTATCCAGACCAGTGGATACGCCGATCAGGACCTGTATCGTAGTCGGCTAGATCACCAGATTTACATCCTATGGATTTCTTCTACTGGGGTGATTTAAAACGACGCGTTTACATTGCGCCAGTGGAAACTGTAGATGATATTCGACAAAAAGTCTTCCACCATAGCCAGGAAATGAATAATGACATCCAATTGCTTTGGAGAGTGCAGCAAGAATTAGTTCGTCGAGCTCGAGAGTGTGTTAGGCAAGGTGGTGCTCATTTTGAACAATTTTGGTAGTTATTATTTCCGTTTATCAGTTTTGCTGCCATCCTCATTTGTTATTGTAAAAAACCATAGCAACGCTACTCAGATATTATCCAAAGCAACTTGATTATTATGTTATAAAGATGTTTTATCATCATGGTACAAATAATGCACTGGAACTTTCAAAAACATCTCGAAACCTATTAGCTTTAGACACTTCTAACAAGTAAACCTTTTTTATTGTGGGAATACGAGAAAATAAGATTTTCTGGTCGGTTGATGTATACAGGGTAGCACAAAAAGTTTATGATAAGTTATTTACCGAAATAGTGCTTTAAGTGGCGCCCTCTAGAAGTTTGGCCATAAACAATAACGGATACTTATTTCTCATACTAGAAAACCTCACTATACCGAGTTTTATGCTAAAATCTGAAATACTTCTCAAGCAATAAGGAAACATAGAAAATAAAATTGTAACTTTGTCGCCCTTTATCTCGCAAACCATCAACTTTTGCACTGAAGTATGTTTAGGTCAATTCACATGTTGTGCACTGCAGTATCACCAGTTTCATCAGACAGACAAACATGAGGGATTAAAATATGAGTATCACCATCCTAGAGCATCATGTAGTACATTAATTTTCTAGTTATTCTTTTGCTTCTTGTATTGTATGTATTGTTTTTACTGGAGGAAACTATTTGTTTGTTTGTTGAAAATCCAATTCAAATAGCTCCACAACGATTGAAGTTACTAAAAACTTCATTGAGAATCTAAAAATAAAAAAAAATGGAGGTGTAACGCAATATCTTGGTTTTTGATCAGCCTCTATTGTACGTCCCCCTAGAAATCAAAATTGACGAGTTCGAGCGTTTTTCCAAAAACTACCATGAGAATCACAAATAGGCGTGCGACCTTTTCCATGGGCCACCCTGTATATGACATCCACTTGCCCCCTATTGTCTACCGTTGCGCATAGATATTGACGGAACGTGGCCAAATTGCTAGTGGATATCTGCCTCATAAAGCCATGCTGATGAACTGACAGGTGGTCTTTAGTTGCCAAGTATATTCGGAATTACAAATACAATATTATTTCAAAGAGCTTGGAAAAGTTATTCAGTATAGTCATCGCCCTATAATTATTTACTCTTGTTCTGCCTTGCGAATTGAAGATTTGGCAGACTTTGTCAATCTTCCACTTATCAGGAAAAAACGATGATCGTAGAATTAAATTAAAAACTGTCATCAAGGGAGTCAGGAAGAGCATTACGCAGTCTTTAATGAAAAACGATGGAAGCATGAGGACGTCAAATTTTCAAGTCGACATTTCTTCTTTCGGCTTCCACCACCAACTTTGTCTTTTCGTCAGTTGATTCTAGAGGACAAGAGATGAAACGTCATATTGAAATTCTAATTATGCCATCTTGTAGAGGAGAAAAAGTGGCGATACTAATGTGCAATTTATTTTGAAATCGCACTACAAAGTCAGGGAAAAATTAAAACTATTTTGGGAAAATACTGTTTTTTCCGTCTTTCTCCGGAAGTACTTTGAATTCGAAACTTTCTAAGCGGCATTTTGTTGATTACCTAAATACGGAACTTTGCCCCTATTCAAGCGACTTCGTATCTCTTACAGTGTCCCAGATCCCAAATGGCGAGGGTCGAATTAGAAACACCCTATATACCGGGTGTAAAGTTAGTAGTAGATCAACGGAAGTCAGGTGATAGAGGGGTTCAAACCTATCGAATGAACCCCTATATGTGTGGTCCGAAATTTTGTTCAGAAGATATTTGCAATTCTGTGAAATTTCGAAAAAAAAATGGGATAATGAAGTTCCAATCACAATTACAACTAAACCATGAGGTCTTTCTGAGATGAGCTGATTTAGCAATGGTTATGTCACTTTTCAACAAAGCCTATTAGACATCAACGCAAAAAATCTTAAATTCATTTTGTTGTGAAAAATCTATTCCATCCCTCAACTTTGAAGGGTGGTAAAGAAAATTGTGGTTGTATTTTATTATTCTCTTTATTGTAAAAACTATTGCAGTCCATGTAGAATAAACCCTGAAAATTTCAGCTTGTTACGATGAGTGTATCATAACACATTCGTTGTTGTGATGCAATAAACATAAGAAACGCAAAAGAATCCTTACCACCTACAAGTACAAAACCCATTGTGTTTAGCCGCTCTTTATGGCGATTCGCCATCAAATGTGGAAGATAATTCAATCTAACTAACTTTTACAGAACATGTTCGAAATGGCCTCAATTATTTTCTATACACAAGCGACACCTTCTAATAAAATTGTCCTTTAGTCTTTGAAATGAATTTGCGTTTTCCATAACTTCTATTTTTGCTCCATCAATTTTTTGGCGCAGTTGGTTGTTTAGATTATCCCCTTATAAAACTCCTATATAAAAAAATCTAGAGGATTTAAATCGGGTGACCTTGGAGGTCATCGTATGTGTTCACCTCTACCTATCCAACGTCCAGGAAAGGCACTGTCTAAGTAATGCCGTACGTCTCGTGCAAAGTGGCAAGGGGCACCATCGCATTGAAAATACATGCGGCTTCGAACATCCAAAGGTACATCCTCTAGAAGCTCTTGCAAACTGCTTAGTAGAAAAACAAGATAAGACTGGCGGATAATTCATATGGTCCAATTAATTTTATGTTGAGTACTCTAGCCCATAGATTAACGCCGAACTGACGTTGAAAGCTGTGTCGGCGAATAGCGTGTGAATTTTCCACGCTTCATGATGTTGGATTCATCTGTCCACAAGATGCTGTCGAAAAAAGTTTCATCCTCTTCGCACCTTCTCAACATATTCTCACAAAATGCAACCCGTTATGCATAGTCGCTTGGAAGCAATTCTTGTACTTTTTGGATATGGTAAGGATGCATGTTCCTCGAGCGTAGTATTATCTGCACTGACGTATGGGATATGTTTCTGCTTCGGGCAATGGCTCTGGTGCTTATAAAGGAATTTCTATCGGCTGCTTCTACTATATCTTCTACTTCTTCTGGGCGTATCCTCGGCGTTCCTAGCTGACGATGAGTGCCTAGTATGCGGCTCTCCATATACGCATTATGGACGCGTAGTCGGGATATCCCACCGGTTGTGGTCCACCTCTACTAACCACATACTCCCGATACATGTGAGCAGCTGCTCGAGTATTTTCTAGAGCAGCACCATAATAGTAATGCATTTCTGTATAAACGCGGGGAGAATATGACATAATTCTACTCAGATGCCAAACGTTAGATACAAATTCCGCGCTGGACCCTTGCCTGACTTAGTAATTTCGGTCGAACCGAAGATTGAACGCTCCCGCACCTGGAATGCTGAGTTGAATGTCCAAACTCATTAAGCTGACTGGGCTATTTGCGTAAAAAATCCGCCATTTTGATTTTACTTAATGTTAATATACACAGTATCACTCGCACTGCTAGAACGGATCTAGCAGTACCTTATATGTCAAAATCCATCAAGTCGTTTGGACTGTGCCTCATAAAATAGAATTTCTTGTTAACATGTATAGATACCCACCTGCGTCAAACATACAGATTTTTTAAGGTGAGGCACTTATCGAAGCAAGCTGAAATTTTCAGGGTTTATTCTATATAGATTGAAATAGCTTTTACAATAAAATAAATAATGAAATACAACCTCAATTTTTTTACCTCCCACCAAAGTTGCGGGATGGAAGAGATTTTTCAAAAAAAAATGAATTTAAGATTTTTGCGTTGATTTCTAATAAGCTCTGTTAAAAAGTGACATAACCATTGATAAAGCTAACCATTTAGCTTATCTTAGAAAAAAATTACAGCCAGTGACATAACCATTGATAAAGCTAACCATTTAGCTTATCTTAGAAAAAAATTACAGCCCTACACCTCTATGGTTTAAATGTAATTGCGAGTGAAAGTTCATTATCTCGTTTTTTCGAAATTTCACAAAATCGCAAATATCTCCTGAACTATAAAATTTCGGACCACACATTTTGGGGTTCATTCGATAGGTTTTGAGGACCTCTATCACCAGACTTTCGTTGATCCACTACTAACTTTACATCCTGTATATAATAAATAGTAACGGCCCTAACTTATTCCCCTGTGGCACCCCTATTTTGAACGCTTGACATAATATTTCCAATTTTAGTTTTTTGACTTCTATTTACTAAATAATTTTGTAAAATGTTTAATACTGATCCTTTAAAACCATAGTGATGTAATTTCATTAACAATGTTTCCCTATCTATAGTCTCAAATGCCCTTTTGAAGTCTAAATAAAATTTTACAGTACATTCCTTCTCATCTGTACTCCTTCCCCAGTCTTCCACCAACATTATTTGGATTGATGTTTCTTGAAGAATATATTAATAATCTTGAAGCACTGAAAACTTTTATATTGCATGGTTTAACATTTATAAAATAGGGTTGAACATCATGTGCCTTTCGAACAAGTTCCCGGATTAGAGGCCGTGGAAGAAATGCAGGTGGAAGAGCGTTTTGAACAAGTACTCCCTGAAAGAAGTCAACCAGAACCTGTTGTGCCCATGGAACAGGAACAAATACAAGAACAACAGGTTCAAATAGAAGAAGCAGAACCTGTTGTCCAGGCTACAGCTGTTCAAGCCGAACATACACCAGAATTAATCGGAACCGAATATTTGCAAGTTGTTTGTGAAAAAGAAAAAACAAGGTAGGTAATCAATACAAGGTACAGGCTGACTGTCATTTTGGATGTCCCGTATTTGTAATTTCCTATTCCGTATTTTAAAGGTGTCGTTATGAGCATGGCAGTAGCCACAATTGACAAAATAATAACCAACTTAAAAGCAACCGTAAAGCAAACATACATCAACAGAATAACAACGCTCCTCAACACCAAACTTAATGCAAAATATCTTATAATGGCAATGAATGCTTGGACTGTGCCAGTGCTGACATATAGCTTTGACGTTACCAAATGGAGCTATTCAAACTTAGTTGAAGTCTCTCAAGAAACTAGAAAATTGCTCTCTAAATTTCATATGTTACATCCAAAATATGCTACAGAAAGGGTATACTTACTATAGCCCTTGGGGGTCAAGGGTTAATTAATGTGGAGCGCTTCTGCAAAGAGCAAATGTCCAAGCTCCGTCGCTACTTTTTCACTCTTAACAGTCAAGAAATTAGGAACATTGCAGCTGTGGACAGCATCACCCCCATAAATTTGGGCAGAAATCCACGTCGACTGACCTGCTCAACAGATGGAAATAGAAAACCCTTCACGAAAGATATCATATAGCACTTAAACAGTTGGAATCGATAAAAAGTCATCACTATAAATTTTTGTGAAAGGTTACCTACACTCGGAAATGGAGTGTTTTCCATCTGCTACTCAGGATAAGCTTATTCGAACTAAAAACTATGAACGCCATATACTAGGACAGAGTATACACGATGTATGTAGAAAATTCCGTACGCTGAAACAATAGAACGCCACCTCCAGTAGCAACATGTTGGCTTACTTATCCCGGCATAATCAAGTAACCAAAATAATACACTCAACGTTATCTTATAATTATAACCTCATCGGGTCAATCGCGCCATTTTATAAATATACTATACATCATAACCAGTACTCGAGAATCACTAAGCCCTATTGTACTGGGACAGGTCAGTCATAACCGCACGGGTATTACGTATCATGAAAAGTGACATTATGCCGTTTTTTTTCACATTATGTAGGTTTTCCTACAAGTTGTTAACTTAGCACTTAGTTGTACGTGTTGCCTAAACGTCATGAGGCTTCAGTTATCAATGTTTGGCTCTAATGTAATGTAAAATCTGCTTCAGAGATGGCATTACTGGAGGTAACGGCAATGCTTAGATGCATAGTGAGGATTTGTGTGCTAATAATATGTGTTGACGATGATTACATTGGATTCTTGTCTCAAATACACTTAATTAAGATTCAAAGCTAGAAATTGGTTGCGCATCCACTTTTCCTTATCCATCCTGGAAATTACATATGAATATTTGCTGAATTTTAAAAATGAGAGAGATAATAAATCCATTTTTTGTAGTTCTGAGAAAAATGGCAAAACCCTCTAGAGAAAAATCCCCGTCAAGTTTAAAACTGTTTGAAATTTCATTATTCATGAGCATTTAGCGGTTTTCTCTCATATCTGCCTTCAAAAACGGATAGAGCATATCAAAATTAACCGAGTTCCATGTCTAATTCAAAAATCGTAAACAGTGGATTTAGCGGTTTTTGCATTTTTGCTCTACAGTTATATTCACTGTACACTGTCGAATAAAAGTCATATACATGCTAAAAGTACTTACACACAACCGGTCGGTCACAGATAATAGACATACTTCATTGGCAGCATATTCAGTAATGATTCTCTCACACAGCAAATATCACTGATTTTATTCACATGCAGATCAATACACATAATCATCAAGATGCGATCTTGCCATTTAACCAACTTTTTTCTCAGAGATGAAAACTTCAGACCACTCGGCTTCACAAAATATATGCAACCAGCAATGCGTGTATACGTGTAGTTGTGCCATTCCTCCATAGATGGACGCTCGCTACGATCCTAGTGTGCAAACGTGTAATGACTGTTTGCACCCTAAGAACTACCTAGTCTGCAAGATGATATCTTTTGACGTTTTATCGGTTTTTTACATAATTCCTGTGCCGATAAGACAGTTGACTATAACAATATAGACATACTACTTACTGATAAACGGAAAGTATACGTGACCGAAATCGCAGTGCTACTCACAGCAAATATAATTAAAACCGAATATGCCAACCTGAAAACTATCAAAACCTTTCAATGGAAATCAACAATATCTGGAAACTATCAGAGTTGTGCATAGTACAAGTAGTAGTATCTGTGGAAGGGGCAGTCTCTGTAAACCTCCACTCACACTTAGATAAAATCAAAGTTCCAGTGCATTTTATGGCACTGATGCAGAAAGCTGCAATACTGCAAACGTGTCACATAGTACGTAAGTTCTTCGCACTAGACTGAGGTGAATTCCTCCTCTATTGTTTACATACCCCGTGTGTAACGGTGAAAGATTAACCAAAAATGAATAATAGTAATAACATAACAATAAAAAAATAATATTAATTTGTTCAAATTTAAGAGAATAAACAAACATTAATACAGGGTGATTCACAAGTCGTGACCAAAAATTAAACATCATATACAGGACCGCATTTGGTGGTGGTGTTGAAGTTTAAAAATAAAAAACATTTTTTTAATACATAACTTCAAATCGGTCAATTGGAATGAACTAAAATTTGGTATGTTGATTTACCTATGTATTTTCCAAATCTAAAAGTCTTTACTTAAAATTGTGCACAAATATGAATGAATGAATTCTTGTAACTAATAAACGGTATTAATTTGTTCAGCATACACTGGTTTAAAAGCGCCCCACAAAAAGAAATCCAAGGAGCTCAAATCAGGAGTCATTGCATGCCAATGTACGGGTAAATGTATGCCAATCGATTGTTGTCTAAAATGATTATTTAGCCATGCGGTTATGTCATAACGAGCATGCGGTGGGGCACCATTCGTACTCTCGTTGCTAACAGAACATCATTTAACATATTTTGTATATAATTCTCTAGAAAAGCTAAGTACGAGTTTGCATTTAACCGTTGTGGAAATACGTGCATAAAGACTTGGCCGTTGAAAATGCCGCACCAGACATTTCTAGAAAATCTGTGTTGAAACGAGTGAATTCTTACAGAATGCGGATTTTCTAACGACCAAATACGTTCATTGTGAGAATTAAAGGTTCCACTCCTCGTAAAAAGAGATTTATCTGATCACAAAACTGAGTCAATAAAATCTGCATTTTGATTATGCATTTGCAGTAACCACTCACAAAAATTCCGCCGTTGCACTTCGTCGCCGGGTTGCAGACATTGCACATTTTGCCGATGGTAAGGATGTAAAACTGTCCGATTTAAAATTCTCTACCCAAGACTTTGGGCACATGGTAACTGGGCTGCAATCCATCTAGAACTTTTACTAGGATCATGACCTGACAACTTGCTCCAATAAAACCAGACTTTACAGTAATTTCGGGAAATTTTGCTAATATGATTAGATTATTTCAAATGTCACGCCTAAATCACAAGCCGTTTCGTGTCGTCTGATTACATTTCCTTCGATGTTATAAGGGTGAATTACTATTTGTTGTTTTCGACAAAATGTAACCAGTTTACATTTAGCGATATTCAGATGCGGTTTATTCAATCAACACCGATCTTCCAACTTAGATCATTGACACAGTTCTATTGATTTCAAAGAACAATTTCAAGTCATCGGCAAATATTATGTTAACAAGGAGCAAAAAATTCGAAATTCTCACCATGTGATACCCTTGAAGATGCTGTATAGCGAAAAGACTAGAAGCCATTATACGATGTGCATAGCTGACGATTATGTAAATATGACTTGAGAAGGGAAGTGCTCTATACCGGGTCTGACTGGCTCTGCATTCTCTGAAACTCCATCATTGCCAACTGTAAATAGTGGTTCAGATATCTACAATGTCATACGCAAACCTTGCATGAAATGTTACTTCTACTAGACGTCATAGAGCAGTATTCAATCGAGCAACGTTTAATTATTGTGAAAACTCGGAGAAAAATACCCGGGAACATTTCACAAATTACGTACAATTTTCGGTCGAAATGATGCGCCAAATGAGTCAACAGTTCACCGTTTTAATTACAAAATTTGAGACAAAATTCACGCTGCTGACTGTGAAGACCACTGTTCGTCGCCGTCCTCGTCGGTCCCTTGAAAATATAGTCGCAGTGCAGGAAATTGTGGCCGAGAATCCAGGGCACTACCATCCGGTATCGTGGCCAAGAATTGAACCTTACCAGACCCACTCTGCAACCAATTTTGACAAAAGATCTGTGCTTGCATCCGTACAAAGTTCAACAGACGCAATAACTCAAGCCAGCGGACCATGCGCAGCACCGTGAATTCGTTGATTTGGTGCTGGAGCACCAGCAAATTGATGCGGATTGATGGGGTTTTGAAAACCGTCGTGTAATAATCGAATAGGATATGTTCTTCAAATAAGACGGTGCGACGTGCCACACAGCACGCGAAACAATGGTGTTACTGCGGACCAAATATCTGTTTGGCTATCAAAATTAGCCCCCAGTGTCGTGCGATCTTTCGCCAAGAGACTTCTCCCTCTGGGGTTATGTGAAGGAAAAGGTGTATGCGAACAAGCCAAAAACAGTTGAAGGCCTTAAATAAGAGATACGGCGCGTTATCGACTAAATAGAGCCACAGTTGTGCGAAAACGTTATCCAGAATTTTAAGTAAAGTCTGACCCTTTACCAGAGGTTTCGTGGTGGCCATTTACCGGGCGTCATATTTCATGTTTAATTGCAACTATTCCTCTTCATGTTGGAATTTAAATACTCTAATGAAAATCGTTTTTCTTGAAAATCAAATCCGGCGCTCTTATTGAGACATCCTTTATAGTATTAAAAGTGCTATACTTTTCATTATCATTCCTAGATAATTGTGAGTAAGCCTTAATTATACTTATATATTTTCTTAAATGGAAAGATCTTAGAAGAGCTCCCATTTTTATCGATGAGGAGTTGAAGGAAGAATAAAGTCTTAATTTATTATTGTCAGTTTTTAGTAGGATTGATCAATAATCAGTAAAACTGTAAAGCATTAGGTACTTAACATGCTACAAAGTAAATGTCTCACACCTTAAAGACATAGATACTCTTAGCTACTAATTATTTTTTAAATCAATCAGAAAATGGGGGTCCAATTTTGGGCACATTTTTCTAGTGTTTCTCCGAACAAAATATCCAAGCAGCATATTTCCACGCCTAAATTTGTTTGGCGAACATCTACGGGATTAACAGCAACATTGATGCTATTCATAAGTACCTGCAATCCGATCGTTCCGCCGTGCTTTTCTTGGAAGAGGTAAAAATCTCAGGATCAATTAATCATCTTAGCTTCCCAAATTACGAGGTGCACTCCAATATGAGGAAGAACGGGGGAGTTGTGGATTTTTTCTGCAGCAGTTTTTCCTGCTCTAGATACGTTTCTTTGAAATCAGATCGGAATGACATTCTGTGGCTCCGCGTCAACTCCAAAACATCCCCAAGTTTATTTGCTGCCTTTATTCCTCTCCCTTGGACCATAACTGGGATGACCGCCGTCAAGATCGACTTCCTGAACATTAATCACCCCGCTTCGGAGGTAGTGCTCCTCTGTGATTTCAATTACCATAATGAGCTTTGGTGGGGCTCAAACAAGAACGATGCAGCAAATCGTGCAGTTATCGCTATTACCCAAAGACTGACTCAGCTGGTAGCGAGCCCTATTTTTCCCCCGAGAGTCGTCACATGCCAGTACCTGCTGGATCTCTTTCTTACCACGCATCGTGTCCCTTACAGCACTGCTGTCGTGACTCCCCTGGGTAACTTGGACCACGATGTTGTGGAGGTTAGGCTTCGGTCAGAATCCGATGTGGCAGGAGAAACTCGCTCAGGCCGCAAGATTTGGCATTACGGACATGCCGACTGGGAGGGGCTCATTGGCTTCTTGTCTACCTTTCCTTGGAGAGATGTTTGTTTCGCTGACGCGGATGTGTTGGTTGTTTGTTCATCGATAAATGAAATTATCCACGTTGGGATGGAGGACATCCCTCATACAGTGAAAGTGCCTAAACCAGGATCCAACGGCTGGTTTAACAAATCGTGTGAAGCTGATCGTCAGCAGAAGATCAAGGCAAACAGAACCCTCTTATAAAACCCCACTGTTCAGGACAGACAAGTCGAGGTCGAGTCCAGAACAAATATAACGAGGCGGTTCGCAATGCGATATAACGGTTTGTCCTAAAAATTTTAAAAAGAGAACCTATAGAGTTTCTCAAAATCGCTTTTTATCCAATTTCCTGGCATGACATAAAAAAATACCAACGACTATTTAGATTACATTCAATGTTCAGACCATCAAAGGTGCAAATCGCATTTTTAGAGTCAAGTTTTATTATTCACTTCTCATAAATTCAAAAATAATGTTTTCTTTTGCAGATTGGAACTATCACCACGCGCAGAAAGAAATGTTCAAAAAAGGTAACTATGAAAAACTGTATGAACAATATAAATAATAAATAATGTAAAACAATGCATTTTTAATAACAAACTTTTATGTAGCTGTTAATAATATGAACAGAAAAATTAAAAATACTTTTTTAAGATTGGTAAATATGTCAACGATAATGAAGCTCCTACATTGACAATAAGTCCACGGATTTCTCCATGAATTGAGTTCATGGCCAAACTTCAAATGTATAAAAGAAGTATTTGACGTCAAATAAATTCATGAAGAACTTATTCTAATTTGTTCCTAGTTGGACGTCAAATTACATGGTGCCAATCTTGTTTTCCTTTCCATTATATTGAACAACCTTTCAATTCAAGTATATAACTTTGATAATATGGTTTTTGTTTATGAAATTCGCCTCAAAATCAAAACCACAATACAAAATCTCAAAACGTTTCTAGCAAGAATTTGGTATGTGGTTGGCAGCACTGTGTAATTTCGGTTAGTCCATGAATTTGTTCATTGATGCAAACACGACCTTGAAGACATCCACATCTGAATAAATTCGTGAAGAAGTTGTTCATGTAAAATAGTTATTGACCTAACAATTTGGATTCAATTATTTATAGAAACCATTTTTACACGAAGGGCTGTGGATTTTCTATCATCATCCCCTTCTAAACGAGAGCTTTTTTCAGGCAGCAAGACATTGTGGATATTGCTTTACGTTGGGATTTTTCCCGCAACCGCCTTACGATCGAAGATGTCTGTCCGAAACCTTTCAACAAGCTAAATATGGCTAGAACGTTCAGTGATCTACTTAGTAAGTACAAAATTTATTTATTTTCGTAGGAAGTATTATTAATAAGAAAGATAGTAGTTGGCGTGCATTGTAACTTAACAGTACCTACGTAAGAAATATCGTTATTGAAGATATTGATTTCTCACTTCGATTATATATGTGACATGATTTTATACCAAAGAATCATTTTGAGAAGGATTCAGTGTCAAAAGCAACATTTTCATTCATTTGTTTGACTGAGCGTTAAAAACTATTTAAGCGATTGAAATCTTAACAGAAACATTGACTAAACCTAGATGTTCAGAAGTGAGTAAGGTATATAAAAATTGTAGTTTTATGCCTTTAAAGGATCGCATTATATCGCAACATGTATAAGAGTAACATCTCTGGGTTGCTAGATCCACCTTATACGAATATTCGGAAAGACAAAACCTGAGACATTGAGGTTATATGTTATATGCACCCTGTACTCCAACTGAAGGCCTATTTACGGGTATCAGATGAGGAAAGTAAGTAAATATTGGAATGACTTAAGTTATGAAGGCTGATTTCTATACAGGCTGTTAGAAAAATAGACGGAGATTTCCTTGTCGAAAAATTTGAACACGAGTCCAAAAATGCAGTTTTCAAGATACAGGGTGATAAATTTAAACAAAAAAAATTTTTTAGAGTAATTCAAATGTTAAACCAAATGATTTTTTGTTTTCCAAGGCACTTCTGATTTTTTTAGCAAAAATTAATAAACCAATTTTGTCCAGTATTTTTTTTTAAACAAAGTGAAAAAAAGATTCGAGGCCAAGAAGTTGTATTTTTAGATGAGTAATCAACCAATAAATATTGAAGTTACAAAAAAGGCAGTGGCGTACATTTTGCCAATAATATTCGCTAAGGTGCCCCTTGGGACGCCACTGAACTTAATAATTTTGATCTATTCAGGTCTAAATCAGCCTTCTAATACCACAAATAATATTGCCAAATTTCAACAGAATTGAGTAAGTATTTTTTAAGATAATTATAAAAATAATTAAATTTATCACCCTGTATCTTGAAAACCGTGCATTTCCGGACCCTTGTTTATATAAACTTTTTTTTATATTTCACAACAAAGAATCACCCTCTGAAATGTCTCCGTCTATTTTCCGAACACCCTGTATATGCGGTAATATGCACTGCCAGACACTTCTCGCTAACTATAAATTCTGCCAGACGATCTAAGGTTTTACAAAAGCTGCCCCGCTATAACTTGACCTCCAACTGTTTTGTGTGATCGTAGAAAATGTTTTTTGCACAAAGTTATAGTCTAATATAAATTTTTACATGCAATGCCTGTTTTGTATACTGCGCTACATTTTTTAGCCGATATATTTTTAGTGAAAATGATTGTCGCTTTCTTGATGACTCCAAATACATTTAAGATGAGACGTGGGATATGTATATGTTAGGAAGAGTGCGCCGATAGCTTCCGTGACCTCGTACTCGGGTTGATAGGCAACGAGGGACTTCTATCTCTTTCTAACACACGTATTGCACGCTTCGCTTCTCTCTCGTATACATTACGAGGGATGTCTTTTAAGTTTTGCATATGGAAATAAAACAACAAGGTAGGTAGTTTTAAATGGCTTTATTGTTTTTCGAAGTATTTTCCACGAAGATTAATACACATCTGCATGCGCTCGAACCAATTTTCGAAGCACTTATTCCACTCGTTTGCTGGCAGATCCAAAACGGCATTTAGGACTTAGATCGGGATTATATGGAGGATGCTCCAATATTTCCACGTTTTCTTCCGTAAAATACTGCCTTGTTCTTTGGGCTGTGTGCGAGCTTGCATTGTCTTGGTGGAGGATGATTCTTCTTTCGGGGTTGATTTTTCGAAGCTCGGTGATGACTTTTGGCAAACAAATGGCGGTATACCAATCCTCAGTAACAGTTCTTTGCTCATTAAGAATTGTTGCAATATGACCCCGCTTTTGACACGCGATGAGTTTGCGCACAGCATCGACGTTTTCCTGGGTGACTGCCGTTTTTCGTGCACCCACCCTGGAATCGTCGCTAAGACTCACCCGTCCACGTTTGAATTCTCCATACCAACGGGAAATTGTCGACTGATGTGGCGCTTCGTTGCCGAAAACAGACAGTAACTCAGCAAGGCATTCTTGTTGCGATAATTGTCTCTGAAAGTTGTAATAAATTATGTCGCGAAAATGTTTTCGGTTGAGTTTCATTTTTCTAATGACTTGGTGACACTTAAAAATTCACTGTAGTGAGAACACTGCACGTATTGTTGTGAAACTTTAAATTTAGGTTCACTAAAGAGTGAGGTTAAGATTCAGTTCTGACCTTCGATCCGCGCGGCCTACTATGTTTCTATATGCAAAACTTAAAAGACATCCCTCGTACGACGTCAGTGGTATTCGGTTTTCAGAGTATAAGGTTTGTCGTACTTGTTTTCATTACTATAGTAAAAAATACAAATTGCGTGTCACTTAGAGTCGTATTTATAAATCTTCCTTCAGGCTTCCTTGGTAACAATGGAAACAGTGAGACAATAACGCTCCCTTGAGAAACGTTCAAGGGAGGAGTTAAATTTTCATTTCACAGTAGGCTGAAACAGTTATCTTCACAAGCTGTCATCGGTGCCAACTGAGTTAAATTATGAGGTGTAATTGAAGTATGTATCTTGAATTCGTATCATACTGATACATTTTACATCTATTCAAAGCTTGAATTTTTCCTTTTATCCAGCAGTACGTGAAAAGTGTAATTTTATCATCTTTTTCATTATAAAGGGTGTCTCAACAAGAGCGCCGCATTTGAATTTGCCGCCATTTTTTTGTACAAATGGTATGGTGCTTACTTTATGACAGCTGTCATGTCCAGACCACACGATTAGACGTGATGGAGCAGTATTCAAACGAGCAAAGTTTAATTATTGTGAAAACTCACTACAAAAATGGACAAAATTACGCTGAAACAGTTCGAAAATTACGTACAATTTTTGGTCGTAGTAATGCGCCAAATGAGTCGACAGTTCGCCGTTTAATTACAAAATTTGAGGCAAAATTCACGTTGCTAAATGTGAAGACCACTGTTCGACGCCGTCCTGGTCGGTCCCTCCAAAATATAGTCGCAGTGCGGGAAAGTGTGGCCGAGAATCCAGGCACTTCTATTCGGCATAGTTGCCAAATCTTGAACCTTACCAGACCCACTCTCCAACGAGTTTTGACAAAATATCTGTGCTTACAACGGCCATGCGCAGCGCCGTGAATTCGTTGATTTGGTGCTGGAGCGCCACCAAATTACCCTCGTGTAATGCTCGAACAACCGATGCATCCGCCGTTTAGTGCGCATTGTGGAGTGGTGGAGGGATTCAAGGGCGGATTCAGGATTTCGTCTAGGGGGGGGGGGGTGCAAACGATATTTGGGGCTGGTAATTTTTCTACCTCAGTGGAACTTCTAGAATTTATCCTATTATTGTTTCTTAAGTCCATTGTGTTTTATCTGTTCAATGCCAACTTGAAAAAAAATATGAAAAGTGCTCAGAAATCCTCAGAAAGGCAATATTTTATTATATGAGAACAAAATAATTACGTGGCATTTATAATTAACTAGTGTAATAAAATTAAGGATTAAACCATAAGAAACTTCATAGCTCTGCTAACCAAAAAAGACATTTTGAGGGACCCCGAGACATATCCCAACCAGTCCACACAAAACAATGTGTTTGATGGCGAAAACGAACATGAGACCGAAAAATTCACATTATCGTATGGACGCTAGACGAGACAAAGAAGGATATCTATGGACCATCTGTAGATCGTGTCTTGAGACCGTCTCCAGACTGTCTATATACAAATTGCGCAACGGGGTCTACTAATGTGTACTAAGCTTAAGGATTAATGCTCTGAACTACCCGTTAAACAACTCAAGTAATTGGTGTATACAGGGTGTTCCATAATTATTGCGACAAAATGATAGGGGTTGTAGAGGGCATCAAAATGAACAATTTTTCCTTATAAACCCCTGTTCGGAAACATGCCGTTTGGGCTGCAGCAAAAAAAAAAGATCAGTTTCTTGAAACAGCTTACCTACAGTAATTGCTCAAAGTGTCCTCCACCTTGCTCAATACACACCTGTGCACGATTGTTCAATGATCGGCGAACTCTGTGGCATACCCCCGGTATGTCCTGAACATGTGCGGACGCGGCCATCACTCTTCCCAGTAGCTCTTGTTGGTTGGGAACAGGAGTTTCGTACACTAAAGCTTTCAGATAGCTCCAGATAAAATAATCCAGTGGAGTCAGGTCAAGTGACCGCGCAGGCCAAGGCACAGGGCCACCTCGGCCTATCCACCTATTTGGCAATTTGTCGCCCAAAAACTGCCGCACTTGTAAAGAAAAGTGGGCTGGACCGCCATGGTGTTGAAACCACATGTTGGCTCTTATATTCAGTGGCACATTTTCTAATAGTTCCGGTAGCACATGCTGTAAGGATCGACCATAAGCATGCCCATCCAAACGTGGTGGAAGCAGATATGGCCCGATGATATGCTCGTCCACAATGCCGCACCAGATGTTAATTGAAAACTGATGTTGGTCTCTATGGATGGCTATGGCATGAGGGTTTTCTTCATCCCAAATGTGACTGTTACGGCTATTAAAATAACCGTCCTTTGTAAAACAGGACTCGTCAGTGAACAAAACGTAGCGACCAAAGTTTGGTTGCCTCAACTCCTGCTGCAGCCACCAACGACAAAAACGTCGACGCGGCAGATAGTCTGCTGGACCCATGGCTTGGACTTTTAAAAGGTGGTACGGGTGTACGATAACAAAAATGTAAACACAGCAGGCTTTTTCTACAAACCGGCGAGACCATGAAATGTGCTAGACGAACATTTTGCAGCTGGTGAATTTTTTGTTTCTCCTATGAGCTCTTAAGGTAAAATTAACTGTAGTGCTCAAACGGCATATTTACGAACAGGGGTTTATAAGGCGAAAATTGCATATTTTTATGCCCTCTAC